GGGTCGGCTGAGTTTTGGACGACTCGATCGTTCTCGTCGAGTTCTCGAAGCACGGCCGAAGAGGTCGCGTCGAAACCGTCGCGTACGCTCCCATTGAAGTCGGGTTGAAGATTCTGACTCGGGAGGCTGCTCGTCGCGTCGACGGCCGCGGCCCAGCGCCGCCGCCGGTCCGGGGCGGGCCCGGCGGGCGCCGCGTTGCGCCGCACGGCGCCGACGATGCCCGCGCACACGGCGGCGACGTCGTCCGCCCCCGCGCGCCCGCCGCCGCCCCGGCGCGACGCCGCGAGGTCGCGCGCGAGCCCGCAGACCTGGGTGGGAATCAAATCTTCAACCCGAATTCGAAGTGAGCGTTTGCGACCATTTCGACGCAATCTCTTCTACTGTGCTTCGAGAATTCGACGAGAGCAATCGATTCGTCCAAAAATCAGCCGAATCGACATCGATTTGACGGAGCTAGAGAGTTCTGAAGTTTGGTTGGGATAACCCAGCTCACTGTTTGCTTTCCACACGGGCGCAGACGGCGCGCGTCGCCGCGCGCGCGTCGCCCTTGGCCGCCGCGGCCGCGTCGAGCGCGGCGCGCTCGTCGGTGCGGGCCGCGGCGACGATGCCGTGGAGCGACCGCTCGACGGCCTCCGCCAGCGACCCGGGCCGCCGCCGGGGCCGGTACGCGGGCGGCTCCCAGCCTGCGCGGGAAATCGTCGACCCGACCGCGACGTATACTCTTGTGCTCTCCGTGGAGAACTCAATAAGAGCACGCGATTCGTCCGAGAATCAGCCGAATCGACAGACCGAGCTCGAGAGTGTTCAAGGTTGGCAACCCGATGGTCGATTGCCGCGCGGCCCCTCGCCGCGCGGCGGCGGCTCGTCGCCGATGCAGAGGTCGTCCGACGCCGGCGCCGCGCTCCGGCCTGGGACCGACGCGTCGAAGAAACAGGGGGGGGGGGGAGGACGCCGTCGCCGCGCGCTCCGCCGCGCGGTAGAGCATCGCGAGGCCGGTGGAATCCGCCGTGTCCTCGGGCCGCGAGAACGTCAGCAAGGTCGGCGTCTTCGCCTGGACCGTCCAGGGGCCGCGGCGCACCTGGGGGGGAGACCGTGATGCGATTTGGGACGAGCGATTCGAAACGCCGCGGCGCGCGAGGTCGACGCCCTCGGGCGACTCGGGCGGCGGAGCGGACGACGCGCCGGTGAGGCCCTTGAGCGCGTCCTCGAGGTCCGGCCACTCGTCGCGCGGCGGCGCCTCGTCGGCGCGCCGGGGCGCGCGTCCGCCGCGCGGGTAGGGCGCCGAGCGCAGTCGGCTTCCGTCGCGCCGGTGTCCCCGCCGCGGCCAGGCGTCGTCGTCGAGATAGGGCGCGCCGCGGTGTTCCGGGATCGCGGGCGGGTACACGACCTCCTGGACGACGATGTTCCGGTGCGCCGCGCCCACGGGGATCCCGACCGTCGCCTGGGCAGCAAAAGGGTGATTCAACGTCGCTTCAACGTGAGTGTTCCGCGCGCGCGCGTTCCGGAAAAAGCATCCGCGCTTCGAGACCGTTCCGAGAGATGATCGCTCGTCCAAAAGTCAGCCGAAAGGAGTGGAAAACGGCCGAGATATGAGCCTTTGAAGTTGGGAATTTCGCTCTCTTTTGCTGCCCTGACCGTCGCCGGGATGGGGCATCGCGCCCGGCTCATCCGCGCGAGCGCCGCGAAGATGTCCGCGCCGGCGACCGTCGCGCGCGGCGTCGGCGACGGCTCCCGCGACGGCGGCGCCTCCCGCGGCGGCGGCGGCTCCCGCGGCGGCGGCGGCTCCGGCGACGCGGGCTCCGGCGACGCGGGCTCCGGCGACGCGGGCTCCTCCGGCGACGCGGGCGGCTCCGGCGACGGCGACCGCGCGGGGTCCGGCGACGGCGACCGCTCCGTCACGTCGATCGCCGCGGCCGCCTTCCGCTTCTTCTTCGGAGCACTCTTCTCCGTCGGCGACTCCGGCGGCCGCGTCGCGGCGGCGACGAGCGGCGGCACGAACCCCGGGTTGGGCGGCACGAACCCCGGGTTGGACTGTATGTCGATGGCTTCGAGATGCGCGTCGCCGGCCGCGAGCCACGCGCGGTCGAGCTCGCGCGGCCGCCGCTGCCCATCCGGCGGCGTCACGACCGGATGCGGCGGCGCGGCCCCCGGCGGGCCCCCGGGGGCCGGCAGCCAGGGCGGCGGCGGCTGCCAGGGCGGCGGGAAGCCGCCCGGGAAGCCGCCCGGCGCGAAGGGCGGGTTCGGAAAGAAGCCCGGCGCCATCGCCGGCGGCGGCGGCGGCGGCAACCCCGGCGCCATCGCCGGCGGCGGCGGCGGCGGCGGCGGCGTGGCCACGGGCCCGAAGCCCCCGCAGGCGGCGCCGTCGGCCAGCGCGTAGGCCGACGTCTCCCAGGACCCGCCGAAGGCCGCGCCGTGGTCGGGCGCGTCCGCGGCGAAGTCGGAGCCCTGGGCTTCGGAGCTCATGATCGCGAAGGGCTCGATGTCCCCGGGATCGAGGCAGTAGGAGCTGCTCGCGTAGGCGCCCGCGTCACCGCCGCCCTCCGGGCTCATCGCCTAGGCGCGGCGGGGGCGCCGGGCATGCGACGCGGGGCCCGAGGGCTGCCCCCATTGCATTGTCTGTGTAATTGTCGAGCAGGTGTGCAAGGGCCTTCCTTGACGATTCATCATATTACACAAAATAAAGATATGATATTTCCTTTATACCGACTTTACCGGATTAAAGGTGAAGTTCTAAGAGACCGTAAGTTACGATTGATGGCAAAGAGGCAAACATGTTGAAGTATTTGAAGCCAGTGTTGCCTCGCCAACCAGGATCGAGATGGCGGCGCGCGCCGGTCGTGCGACGCGCTGGCTCGCGCTCCTCCTCGTCGCGTCGTCTGCATCGGCGCTCACGACCGTCGACTTCGTCGTCGAGCTGGCGCCGGGCGCGGCGCACCGGTCCTTCGCCGTCGAGGTGCACCCCGACTGGGCGCCCCTCGGCGCCGCGCGCTTCGTCGAGCTCGTCGAGGAGCAGTTCTTCGACGGCGTCGCCTTCTTCCGCGTCATCGGCGGCTTCATGGCCCAGTTCGGCATCAACGGCAACCTCACGAAGCAGAAGCGGTGGAAGAGCCGGGCGATCCCCGACGAGGCGTCGCCCGTCGCCGCGCCGCCGCGCGCGAGCAACACGCGCGGGCGCCTCACCTTCGCGCACGCGGGGAAGAACACGCGGACGACGCAGCTCTTCCTCAACTTCGGGGACAACGCGCGCCTCGACCGCGAGAACTTCCCGCCGTTCGCGGAGGTCGCGGGGGAGGGGATGGCGGTAGTGGACGCGATCCACGTCACCGGCGAGGGCGCGCCGTCGGGCAAGGGGCCGAACCAGGGCAAGATCCAGGTCCGGGGCGACGCCTACCTGCGCGCCGAGTTCCCCGAGCTCTCGCGCGTCGTCTCCGCGCGCGTCCGGCGGCCGCCGGAGCCGGCGCCGGAGCCGGCGCCGCGGCGGCCGCCGGCGCTCCGCGACCCGGCCGTCGCGGACGCGCCCGCGCTGCCGCGCGTCTCCTTCCCCGCGAAGGCGGCGGCGGGCGCGCCGCGGGCGGGCGGCGGCCGCTGGTACGTGTTCCTCATCCCCGCGTCGTTCGTGCTCTCGGTCTTCGCGCGGCGCTACCGCCGGGGCGCGGCGCCGGCCGCCGCCGGCTTCGACGCGGGCGACGCCGAGGACCCGGCCCTGTCCAAGGAGAATTAGACACCTTAGAGCTTGTGCTTCTTGATGATCTTCGTGCAGCTCGTCGCGTCGTCCGCGCAGGCCTCGAGCGTCACGAAGTCGTCGTCGTGCTTCGCGGCGACTTTCGCGATGACGCAGGTGCAGCGCAGGCCCTCGGTTCGTCGGAGGCGCGGGAGCTTGCCGTTGGCGCAGGAGAGCGTGGCGCCGTCGTCCTTGCAGGACGGGTAGCGCCGCTTGTCGACGGACTTCTTCGCCTGCGACTTCCGCTCCTTGACGAGGTCGAGCTCGACGTCGCGGCCCTCGAGCGTGAGCCGGCCGTCGAGGGAGTAGAAGAAGCCGCCGCCCATGAGGCCCTTGTAGGCGTACTTGGCCTTGAACTCGTCGACCATGAGGTCGAGCTTGTGGAGGAGGTTGCCCTCGAGGCGGTCGACGTCGTCCTTGCGGTCCTTGCCCAGGTCGCCCGTCGCCCAGGCCCGGCTGCTGTCGCGGCCGACGAAGGCGTTGTACCAGCCGTTCTCGTGGCCCTCGTCGAAGAGCGGGTCGCCGGAGACGTCGAAGACGTGGCCCATGACCGCGGTGTACTTCGGGCGCCCGCCTTTGCCGTTCATGGACTTGACGACCGATTTCGACACGACGGGGATCGTGCCGCCCTTCGTCGGGTCGTTGACGGGCGTGCGGTCCTACGAGGGCGTCGTCGTCGCGCGCGCGCGCGCGGCGAGGATGCGGCGAGGATGCGTCGGGCAGCCCCCGCGCGGGCTGCCGCGCAATGCGAGGCGGATTGAAAACTTCGCCGGCGCCGCCGGCGCGCGGGATACTGGTACTGCTTGTAGACGATCGCCGCGACGACGACGCCGATGGTGTTGAGCTTCCACCCCATGGCGTCGGTTGCGTCGGAGACGATGCGCGAGGCGCTGCAGGGCGTCGAAGACGATTGGACGAGGCTGGGCAGTCGTTTTTGGCCGGGGGTCGAGAGGCGAGCCCTTACGCGGCCGCCCCGAGGGCCAGGGCGACGGCGACGAGGAGCCCGCCGCCGCGACGCGCGGGCGCCGACGAGACGACGTCGTTCGCCGTCGGCGCGGACGTCGTCGGCGCGGGCGACGGCGCCGGCGTCGTCGGCGCGGGCGTCGGGTCGTAGACCGGCGCGGCCGTCGGCGCGGGCGTCGTCGGCGCGGGCGTCGTCGGCGCGGGCGTCGGCGCGTCGGAGACCGTCGGGCTCGCCGTCGCGCCGCCCGGCGTCGCCGTCGCGTAGTCGTAGGTCGCGGCCGCGTCGTAGGTGTTGACGCGCGTCTTGAGGAAGTCCCAGGCCATGCGCGACGTCTCGACGGACGACTCGGGCCAGCCCGGGTAGAGGCCGAAGTAGTCGTAGTAGGGCCAGTGGTCGACGCCGTCGAGCGCCACGAACGCGACGTCCGCGCCGGAGTTGCAGGAGTCGTAGGTTCGCGTCGTGTACCCGGCGCCGGTCTCGACGGCCGCGTCGCCGTCGCACGCGTTCCAGCGCGTCCAGCGCTCGAGCTGGAGCTCAAAGTTCTCGTGGATGTAGTAGTCGCACGTGTCGAAGCAGACGGCGACGTCGTCGTCGCAGCACGCCTGGTCGTAGGCCACGGTCGCGTCGTCCGTGCCGTGCGCGTGGAAGTAGGGCGTCGGCTGGAAGAGGGTCCCCGGCCCCGTCAGCGCGTAGCCCCCAAAGGCCGCGACGCCCGCGACGAGGTCCGGCGCCTCGAGCGCGAGCCGGTTCACCATCGACGCGCCGTTGCTGTGGCCCGCCGCGTAGACTCTTGTGGAGTCGATATACCCGAGGTCGTCGCTCACGGCCTCGACGACGCGCCGGAGGAACGCGACGTCGTCGACGTCCGCGTAGTAGGCCGAGCCGCAGCACGTGCCCGCGTTCCAGCCCGTGTCGTCGTGGTAGATCGTGCCCGTGCCCGCCTCCTCCAGGTCCTGCGTCCCCGCGGGATAGACGACGACGAAGCCCTCCTGGGACGCGAGGACGCTCCAGCCCGACACGTAGGCGACGTCGGACACGCAGGAGATCCAGCCGTGGAGGTCCAACACCAGCGGCACGGACGTCGCGCCCGCGGGCACGCCCGCCGTGTAGACGTACCACAGCCGGTCGTAGCCGTCTATTGTCTCCGCGTAGCGCGTCGCGGGCATCCAGTCGAGCTCGTCGACGGCGTTGGGGCACCCGTCCATCGCGTGCGGCAGCTTGCGATGCCGCTGCGCGGGTCGCGGCGGGCGGCGGGGCATGGGCTGGGCGCCGGCCGACACGCCATCCTCCGGCGGCAGAAACTCGGCGAGCGGCGCGCCGGATGCCGCGCGGCGCGCGCAGACCAGCGCCGCGAGCGCCGCGCTGCGCATTGGAACGACGAGGCGGGCGTTCCACTGCCACAAGAGAAAACGCAGGACCTTTGTTGGGACCTTTGGCGAGGCGATACACCCTTCACCACCATGCATGCTGCCCTTTCCGTCGCGGCACGCCGGCGAGAATCCCATGGGCTGGTCGCCCCACAGCCTCGGCGTGCACAAGCTGCTGGGGCCGCTGCGGCCCCTGGTCACGCCCGTCGTCGACGCGGCGTCGCGGCGGCGCCTGGCGAGGTGCGTCAACGTCGCCGACCTGCGCATCGCGGCGGAGAAGCGCATGCACCGCATGTGCTTCGGTTACCTCGACAGCGGCGCCGACGACGAGGTGACGCTGCGGCGGAGCAAGGACGCGTTCCTGGAGCGGGAGCTCCACTACCGCGTCCTCGCCGGCACGCGGCCCGAGACGCTCGACGCGTCGGCGACGCTCATGGGCTCCGACCTCGCGCTGCCCTTCTTCTCGTGCCCCTGCGCGGGGAACCGCATGTTCCACACGGAGGGCGAGGTCGCCGCGGCGGCCGTCGCGCGCGAGCGGGGGAGCCTCTACTGCCTCTCGACGCTCGCGACGTCGACGCCGGACCAGGTGGCCGCCGGGGACGCCGCGGGCGAGAAACAGGGCAGCGAAAGAGAGAACGCGCGCGCGCGGAACACTCACGTTGAAGCGACGTTGAATCCCTCTTTTGCTGCCCAGGCGAGAAGCCCCCGCGGCTCTTCCAGCTCTACGTCTGGAAGGACCGGGCGCTGGTGCGGCGCATGCTCGACCTCGCGGCCTCCGCGGACTTCGACCACCTCGCGCTGACCGTCGACCTCACGTGGTTCGGCAACCGCGAGCGCGACAAGCGGCAGGGCTTCACGATCCCGCCGAGCTACAGCGCGCGGCAGATCTTGGATGGGGTGATGGCCCCGGCCTGGACCTGGGACCTGCTGAGCAGCGACCCCTACACCTACGCGAACATCGACGAGGACGTGCCCGCGGAGGCGCTCGCGGCCTTTGTGAACGCGCAGCTCGCGTGCGACTTCGACTGGGACGACGCGAAGTGGCTCGTCGGCGAGTGGAAGCGGCTGCGGCCCGGCGGGACCATCGCGTTGAAGGGCGTCGTGCGCCCGGACGACGCGTTGCGCGCGCGGGACCTGGGCTTCGACTGCGTCTGGGTGTCGAACCACGGGGGCCGCCAGCTCGATACAGCGCCCGCGCCGCTCGACGTCCTCCCGGCGATCCGGGAGGCCGTCGGGTGCGACTTCGACCTGATTCTGGACGGCGGCGTCCAGCGGGGCACGGACATCGCCAAGGCGCTGGCCCTGGGCGCGTCGGCCGTCGGCGTCGGCAAGCCCTTCCTCTACGGCCTCGGCGCGGGCGGCAAGGCGGGCGTCGACAAATGCTTCGACGTGCTCGACGCGGAGCTGCGCACGTGCATGGGCCTGCTCGGCGTGCGGACCGTCGCGGAGTTGAGGGAGCACGGCGGCGACCTCGTCCGGCGGCGCCACCCGAGCTTCCGCGACGCGCAAGGGGCGCGATACGCGCCGGGCGGCCTCTGCTGAGGCGGTCGACCGCGACTAAGTGAGGAGGGAGTTACGAGCGCCGCCTCCCGGGCGCGGTGCGCGTCGGCGGAGGCGGCGGGCGGCGCCGCGGTCGGCGGGTGAGGCGGCGGAGGGGCCTACATGCCGGCCTTGAGCTGCGCGACGACCCGGTTGAGGCGGTGCTGCATCTGGTTGCAGAGCGTCCAGTTCGCCTGGCCCACCTGGGGCGGGGGCATCTGGAGGACGAACTTGACGTCCTGGAGCGCCGACTTGTAGCGCTCGACGGCCTCGAAGGCCTGCGCGCGGCGCACGAGCGACTTGACGTTCTCCGGGTCCGCGTCGAGGACCGCCGTGCAGTCCTCGATGGTGCCGTCGAAGTTGGAGAGCTGCTTGTAGCAGGCCGCGCGGTTGCTGTAGGCCTTGACGGCGATCTCCGAGCCCTTGTCGCTCGTCGCGTCGAGGCACTTGGTGTAGAGCTTGATCGCGCCCTCGAAGTCCGCGCTCTTGTAGGCCTGGTCGCCGAGCTCCTTGTCGCGCGCGTTCTTGGACAGCGAGCCCACGCGGCGCTTCTCGGCCGCCTCGAACTTGGGCTGCACCGCGCCCTTGATCTTCGTGAGCTCCTTGTTGCCGCCGTCGAGGGCCAACCCGCGGTCGCAGGTCGCGAGGCAGTCCTTGAGCTCGCCGCCCTGCATCTGCTCCTTGGCCTTGGCGACGAGCGCGACGACGCGGTCCTTGCGCATGAGCTCCTCCATCTCGCTCGACTGCTTCTTGAGGTCCGCGTTGCCGGGGTCGACCGCGAGGCCCATCTTGATGTTGTCGACGGCCTCCTTGTACTTGCCCGCGGACCGGAGCGCCACGGCGAGGCGGAAGTAGCCCTTGATGAAGTTCTTGTTCACCTTGACGCAGCTCCGCCCGTCCTCGGCCGCCTCGTCCCACATCTCGAGGGCCGCGTACCTGCGCGCGTAGTCGCGTCGCGAGCGCGGCCGCGCGCGCGCGCGAAAAGGGGCGCGTCCGAGCGTCGCGTCCCTCGAGGCGCGCACGAGGCGCTCGCGCTCGCGGACCAGGGGCCTCGCTCCGTTCGGACCCGCCGCTTCCGCCGCTTCCGCCGCGCCCCGCGGACGCCGGGTCCGCACGCCGCCGACCGGTTGCTGAAGAAGGTCACGTCCGTGCCATCGAGGTTGATGGCCTCCGTGTACTTGGCGATGGCCTGCGCGCGGAAAAATGTGGCCGCGACGATTCGAAGCGCTGCGGCGCCGGCGGCGCGCCTCCTTGTGCTTGCCCGTCGTGAACAGCTTGTTGCCCTCCTTCTTCGCAGCTTGGGCCGCGGCAGCCATGACGCGAGATCGACGCGCGCGGGCGGCTTCGGGCGACGGTGTGGCGGAAGTTTGGGCGCGACTTCGACGGACGGCGACGCGTCGAATAGTAGGCGACTCGACGGCACCCGCCTGCGGACCCCCGGCCAACTCGGAGACGAAGCCACCACGACCGATCCCTCTCCCTAGCTCGCCGGGGGTCCGCAGGCGGGTGACTCGACGGGGCGCGGGCGGTGACTGGACGCTCGACCCCCGGCGACCGCCGGCGGAGGCTCGTCGACGCGCCCTCTCCGACGCCGCCGCCCCGTCGCCTCCCCGCACACGGCGGCGCCGATGTCCAGACGGAGCGCGGACGACGGGCGACGCGAGGCCGGAGAGCCGTGCGATCCACCGACCTCATGCGCAGATGCGGCCGCCGGCCAGAACGCGCTCAGGCTTGCTCAAGTGAGCAGAGACACCTGGGCAGTTTGTTGGTGCGTCCCCGACTTAGCATCGGCTTCGCACTCGACGGTCCGCTCCGGCGCCAGCGGGCAATGGTGTGTTGGGTCGCGTCCGCCCCGCGCCGCCTCGCGGCGGCGCGGGTCGTCCGCGGGTCTTGGGCTCGGCGCCTAGTTGAAGAGGGAGAAGTCGGCCTCGAAGGGGACCATGTAGGAGCCGGAGTACTCGGGGATGAGGCCCGTGATGAGGGGCACGGAGCCGGGCACCTTGGACTCGGAGAGGACGGAGAGGATGCCGAGCATCGCGAGGCGGCCGTTGTTGATCTCGACCTGGCGGCCGCGGACCTTGTCCTTGTCCTCGTCGAACCAGTTGAAGGGGTCGTAGAGGTTGAACCAGAGCTCGGGGCGGTTGCCCCGGATCGGCGGGTAGTAGCCCGGGAGGCCGCCGTTCGTGTAGTGCACGTCGAGGATCTCGCCGTACGACTCGAGCATGCCGATGATGCCGAAGATCTGGAGCTTGCCGACGAGGGGGATGGCGTCCCACTGCTCCGGCGGCGTGAGCCCGGGCTCGTAGCCCTTGAAGGGCAGCTTGCCGTGGGGGCCGGACACGACCGGCGTCGACTGCGCGAGGTAGCCGAGGAACGCGGCCATGGCGACGCGGCCGTGCTTGATCTCCGCATGTCGGAGGTAGCCGATCGTCGCCTCGTTGCCGAGCGTCCAGAAATCGAGGCTCAGGCAGCCTAGGGGAGGGACGGGGTGAGCGGGGGGACGCGCGCGGCCGGCGGCGGCCCCGATCTCGGCGGACGCGGAAACGCGCCGAGCGGGTCCCAGAGGCCGAGCGACGAGCCGAGGAAATCGGGGTTCGCCTCCGCGAGGTCGGCCATGTCGGCCTTGGACGCGGACATGGCGACGCCCGCGGACTTGGCCGCGGGCGCGACGTAGGCGGCGGCGGAGCCGCAGAGGGCGAGGGCAAGCGTAACCTGCGGCGATTTCGGCGATGAGCGCGATCTTTCGTGCGCGCGCGACGCCAGCGCTTCTCCGCGACCCCCGACCGGCTGCGCCACGCTTCCCGACCCCCCGATCGCGTCCGGACGCCGCGCAACACCTTCATCTTTGCGCGAGCTGAAGGTCGAAGCAAAGCGATCTTGGGCCGCCACCTTCCACGTCTGGCTGGCCTGGGCTCCAAAGCCAAGGCGGCGAGCGTTTTTGACGCCCGCTCAAACCTCCCGAGTGCGAGCCGTTCGCTTGGAGAAATCCCCGAGCGCGTGGTCTAGCACGCAGCGACGCGCAGGCAGTGGGCCATCGGACTTGGCGACCTGGCGAAGTTGGCGGCCGTCCGCGTCGCGGCCGCGCGCGTCGCAGGCGCTCGCGCCAGCGTGTCTTCAACCCATCCTCTCACCAACACACCAAAACAAAACCCCCAGGATCGTTCACCGCCGTGCCCGTCGGGACGCCGTCGCAGGCGTCGTCGCGCATGGCAAAGCGGCGATTTCTTTCTTGTGGCAAATTCTCGAGCAGCTTTTGGCATCTCCGCCTGCTGCGCCTGTCGCGCTGCGCCCGCCCGCCGCCATGATGCGCAGCCGCGCCGCCCTGCGGCCGCTCCGGCGCGCCCTGGACGCGCCGCAACGAGAAATCGGCACGCTCATTCTACTCCGCCACGGCCAGTCGATCTGGAACGGCACGACGGCGACGTTCACGGGCTGGTGCGACGTCGCGCTGACGCCGCGGGGCCGGAGCCAGGCCATCGAGGCCGGCGAGCTCCTGGGCGAGCGGGGCTACGGGTCGAAGATCACGGACGTCTTCACGTCGGAGCTCGAGCGCGCGTACGAGACGGCGGCCTTGGCGATGACGGCGATCGAGCAGCACGGCGGCCACCGGAACCCGCGGACGGTGCGGGACCCGCGGCTCAACGAGCGCCACTACGGCTGCGTCCAGAGCGTCTGCAAGGGCGACGCCATGCTGCTGTCCTACTTCGGGGAGGCGCAGGTGAAGTCGTGGCGCCGGTCGATGCGGGGGAAACCGCCGCCGCTCGACGAGAGCCACCCGCACTGGCGGCCGCCGCCCGCGCCCGCGACGGAGTCGCTCGCGGACTGCCAGGCGCGCGTCCTGGCGTGCTACGAGGATTGCGTGAAACCCGCGCTCTTCGCGGGGCCCGACCGGACGGTGTTGCTCGTGGCGCATTCCAATACTTTACGGGGCCTCATGGCGTCCATCGACGGCGTGCCCGACGCCGACGTGCCGTCGCTGCACGTGCCCAACAGCGTGCCCATCCTCTACCGCTTCGACGAGACGTCGCGGGAGCTCGTGTCCCGCAAGTACGCGCCGCTGGAGAAGGGCTCGGCGGCGGGCAGCCACGCGCGCTGGCTGCTGTCCAGTAGGAACCTGATCCGGCTGCGCAGCGCGTTGGCGCCGGGCGGCGTGCTCACGCGGGCCCTCTTCGACGCGCTGGACGAGAACGGCGACCGCATGCTCACGGCCGACGAGATCAAGCTGGGCGTCCGGAAGCTGCTCGGCGACGACCAGGGCAGCAAAAGGGTGATTCAACGTCGCTTCAACGTGAGTGTTCCGCGCGCGCGCGTTTCAAAAACAGCACCCACGCTTCGAGAGCGCTCCGAGAGATGATCGCTCGTCCAAAAATCAGCCGAAACGAGCGGAAAACGACCGAGATAGGAGCCTTTGAAGTTGGGCATGTCGCACCCTTTTGCTGCCCAGGCGACGACGTCGCCGTCGCGGCCATCGTCAAGCGCATCGTGCGCCACCTGAACATGAAGGACGACGCCGTCTGCACGCTGGCCGACTTCGAGGCGTCGGCGGCCCACATCGCCCACGAGATCCTCCACGAGGCCAAGGTGCCCGCGCGGCCGCCGCCGCCGGAGGACGTCGATTTGCCCTGGGGCAAGGTCCAGCCCATCCACCAGCGCGACGGCGGCGACGACCGCTCGGCCTACGGGTGACGCCCCGACTAAAGCTTTGTTTGTTGGTAGCATATCCCGCCGGTTATGTTAAACGCCGCTTCAACAGTTTCCGAAACCTGAGTCAACCCGGTCCCCAATCCTTGCACTTCAACAGGGACTTAGCCATCCGCGAGCGCGAGGAGCGCCCAGACGGCGGCCGCGTCGATCGCGCGGTCCGCCGGGAGCGTCGCGTTGACCTCGCCGACGGCGCGCGCGAAGGCGGCGAAGCCCCGGGCGTCGTCGCCGAGGACGCGCCGGAGCTCGGCCCTCGACCGCCGCGCGAAGCCCGCGGCGACGCCGGCCCGCGGCCGCGCGCGCCGCAGGAGCCGCGCGGGCCAGTCCGTCCGCGCCCTGGAGAGGTCGCGCCGGCGCCGAGGCGCCGCCCCGAGCGCCGGCAGGAGCAGGTCGCGCCAGGCGCCCTCGGACGCGCCGAGGCGCGCGGAGCACGCGGCGCACACGTCCGGGAACGTCGCCTCGCCGTCGAGCGCGAGCGTCAGGGCGCCGCGGTGCCGGTGCAGGAAGGCGAGGATGCGCGCCGCGAGGGCGTCGCGCGTCACGGCCACGTCCTCGTAGTCGTCGCCGACGTCGCGCTCGAGGGCCGCGGGCGAAACGTGGGTCGACCCTACCGCGGGGCCGTCGGGGTCGCTCTCGGGCCGGTCGTGGTCCCAGCGGCTCGGCGCCGCGGCGCCGTCGCCGGAGAGCGCGAGCACGGCGGCCTTGTTGAGGCCCGTGCCGTGCGGGTAGCGCGACGCGGAGAAGACGGTCCACCGCTCGACGCCGCCGCCGAGGTCCGTGACCTTGGCGCCCGTCGCCACGGTCTCGTGGGACCGGACGAGGCGCACCAAGTTCTCGCGCCGGAGCCAGGGCGCGAGCAACCCGTCGTAGAGCACGCACCCGGCGCCGCCCCGCGCCGCGTTCGGCGCGCCCGTCTCCGGGAAGTCGGCCGAGGGGTACTCGACGGGGTCGCTCCAGAGCAGGTCCTGCACGAGCAGGTCGCCGGCGTCGCCGTCGCCGTAGTGCGCGGCGGCGACGGACGTCGCCCGGGGCGCGGCGTAGAGCGCGTCCACGGGCGGCAGGCCCCGCGGCGCGCCCCCGTGGACGACGAGGCTGTCGGCGCCGTCGACCGTGCGGACCAAAGCGGCGACGGGCATGGCCGCGAAGAGGCGGCCGCACTGCTCCAGGAGCGCCGCGCCCGCGCGCCGGCCGTACTTGCGCGTGAGCTCGCCCTCGAAGTCGTAGGCGGACGACAGCGCCGTGTCCTCGTGGTTGCCGCGGTTCACTTTTACAAATTCGGGGAACGTGAGGTGGAGCGCGAGCACGACGCCCAGCACCTCGACGCCGTCGCGGCCCCGGTCCACGAAGTCGCCGTTGAAGACGACGCGCGTCGACGGCCCTGGCTCGCCCGCGAGGCCGCACGCCGTCACGAGGTCGCCGAGCGAGCCGTGGAGGTCGCCGACGACGACGCACCGGTCCGCGTCGTTCTCGAGGAAGACGTCGCTCACGCGCGGCGCCGCCGCGAAGGCCGCCGTCGCCTGGTCCAGCAGGCCCGCGAGGCTGGTAGCGGCGAGGCGGCCGCCGCCCAGCAGGCCCCAGACCAGCGCGCGGCCGCCGGCCTCGTCGAGCGGGAACGCCGCCGCGAGCCGGCCCGCCTCGTCCGGCGCCCGCGCCGCCTCGTCCGGCGCCGCGTCGCCGTGGCCGCGCAGCCGCCGCAGCGACGCGAGCAGCGCCGCCAGCCGCACGCGCTCCGCCGTCTCGAGGCCGTCCATCGCTTGCCACCCCTTCATGACCCACGTCGATCGAGTCGTCCCCGCTTCCGGCGCGTCCGTCGGTGCCGTGCTCGACGACCATCGATTCGCGGCGACGCGGCACGCCCGTCGCTGGCGCCAGGCTACGCGCATCGCGCGAGCACGCAATGGAAACGCCATGCCTCGACGTGTGAGCCCGCGACGCGCTGGCCGACGGCGCCCGCCGCGGCCGTCGCGGCTCGATCGCGTCGATCCGAACTGCACAGCCCTATGTTCCCATCAACATGCCGCAAAGGTGAAGTACTGCAGCCTTAGTCCGCGGGCTCCGGCGGCGGCCCCGCGGAGAAGACGGACCAGGGGAGGAGCACGTCGGGGACGTTGTCCCGGATCCAGGCCGGCACGGGCTTGCCCGCCTCCTTCTCGACCTGGGGGAAGACGAAGTTGGGCAGGAGGTACCGCAGGGACCGGATCGAGCAGGGCCGCGCGCCGTCGACGTCGTCGAAGCCGAACTCGTCCGCGAGCTCCGCGATGACCTCGACGTTCCCGCTCCGGGCGAGCAGGTCCGCCTGGGGCAGGCCCAGGAGCGCGACGAGCCCCCGGCCGCTGAAGGCCGGCGTCTCGCCGACGGCGAGGTCCAGGCCGCCGCTCGCCTCGTCCCACGTGCCCATGTCGACCATCTCCAGGTTCGCCTCGGTCCGCACCAAACCCGGGTATAACGCCGTAGTAGCGACGCCGTGCTTCTTCAGCTGGAGGGCCATGTCGCCCGCGAGGCGGTCGACCTGCGTGGCAATCAACCGGTGGAAATGCCCTGTCCAGCGAAAACTTCACACCTCTCTAGCTCGTCGATTCGGCTGATGTTTGGACGAATCGAGTGCGCTCGTCGACTTCTCGAAGCACAGCCGAAGAGCTTGCATCGAAACGGTTGCGCGCACATTGAAGTCGGGTTGAAGATTTGATGTCCGCGCGGCGGTCGACGGCGGCCTTGCCCACGCCGTAGGCGACGTTGAACGTGTAGCTCTTGCCGCCGAAGGAGCTCACGAGGGCGATGAGCGGTGTCGCGTCGGCGTGCTTCTGCGCGGTCTCGATCATGGGCGGCGCCGCGGCGAGGCACGACGCGTAGACCGCGCGGAGGCCGACGCCGTTGACGGCGTCCCACATCGCCATCCCTTGCTTCCAAAAGTCGTCCCTTAACTTCTGCGACGGCACGGCGTAGGCGCTGCAGACCAGGACGTCGAGGCGGCCCTCGGCGGCGACGACGTCGGCGACCATGGCCTCCACGGCGCCCTCGACGCCGCAGTCGCAGACGCGCGCCGCGCCGCGGCCGCCCAACGCGTCGACCTGCTCCGCGGTCCGCTCGACGGTCAGCTCCTCGTCGGCGGGCAGCCGCCGGTACTCACCCATCTCGGCGCTCACGTCGCGGTCCGGATCCGACCGGCTCGACCGGCCGACGGCGTGCACGGCGTAGCCCGCGCGGCCCAGCTCCAGCGCGATGCCCTTGCCGATGCCGCGCGTCGCGCCCGTGACGATGGCCACGCGCCGGCCGTCGGCCATGGTCATAGTCCTGCGCTGCGTGCGACCGTGGAGCGACAGCGCAACGCCGCGGCCGCACCACGCCGCGGCGGCGAGCAACCATGCGATGCGTGACTTGGCCATGCTGAGCTCGGGCTCGTGGCAAATCTTCGCCGATTCGCCGAGCGCGTGCGTTGACGCGTATACGCGTATACGTAGGGTGCGCGCGCGACGGCGCCGTCGGCCGCTGGCCGCAGAGCTTGATGGTTAAGTGTCCCCGAGAAGACCGAAAAAAAAATTAGGAGGAAGTCGCCGCGCGGCGATCCCGCTCGATCTTCGCGACGCGCGCCGCGTGCTTCTCTTCGAGCGTCGGGTCGAGCCAGCCGACGTGGCCGTCGACGGTGGGCAGCTCGCCGTTGAGGACGGGGATGAGGCGGACGCCCACGTGGTAGGGGCCGGACTTGCGGGTGAGGACGCGGCGGTGCGCGCGGTTCAGCGGCTTCAGGTTCTTGTCGTCGTAGAACGCGTAGAGGTCCACCTCGTCGAGCGTCAGCTCCTCGACGTCGAGGGCGAACTCGTGCGCGTGGCCCGCGTCCGTGAGGAGCGTGGCCGGCGGCCCGTGCTGGGCGAGCTCCGTGGGCTTGAAGCCGCGCGCGCACTTCATCAGGTCGTTCCTCTTGGCGAGGCCGATGCCGGGCCGCACTCCGTTCGGCTTCTGCTTCGACGGGTTCCTGAAATGCGTCGTGCCGTTGTGGTTGCCCTCCTTGACGACGGAGTTCCCCCGTAACGAGTTGATGCTGACCGCGAAGATGATGTAGTAGATGAGGAGCTCGGGCGCGTCGTGCCGCGCGCGCAGCTCCTCCACCGCGGCCTTGATCTTCCCCAGGTTCGCGCGCGACTCGGCGCGCGCGCACCTGTCAGCGGGCTTCTCGCAGTCCTCGGGGATCGTCTCCTTGAGGAACTGCCGGCGTTTCGCTGCGTGTTTCGCTTGGCCTCTCTTCAAGCCGCCATTGTCGCTAAACTTCTTGTTGGCGTCCGCGCGGGCACCTGTCAGCGTGCGAATGACGCCATAGCGCTGTTGCTGGAGGCATAGCGCTGCTCGCAGGGACGTCTTGGACTCGCCCCAGACGTCCCGCGCGTCGGCCCGGTGCCAGACGGGGCCGTCCACGCGCTTGCCTCTCCTGCTGAAGTAGCGGCGTCCGCAGTCGGCGCACTTGCACCTGTGCAAGTGCGGGCATGACGTCTCGAGGCAGTCGCAGAATTTCATTCCCTTCTCCTCGGCCTCCGACGTCTTGAGGCCGTCCGGCATCTTCTTCTTCGGGCCGACGAAGGCCTCGGCCTGCGCCTTGGACAGGCGGACCGTGGGCATGGCCTTCGCCTTCCACGGAGCCGAGCCCTGGTACTCCTTGTCGACGTCGAGGGCCATCTCCTCGATGGTGACGTCCTCGAACTCCTTTATCTCCGACATCGTGAAGACGGGCTTCCCCTTGTGCATGGCGTCGTGCATCTTCATGTTCGAGCCCGGGTTCTTCTTCAACCGTTTCGTCGCTATCAAGCCGTACGTGGCAATCTTGAGCTTGTCCCCCCCCGTGAGGCTCGCGCCCTTGTCCTCGAGCATGCGGCGGAGCTCGTCGCGCCCCGCGGGGCCGAAGCCCGTGGCCTGGAAGACTTTGCCCGCGATGGTGTCGACGCCCTCGGGCCCCGGGCCCGTCGACGGGCCGTCGCCGCCGACGTCCATGTCGCCCTCCGCGTCGTCGTCGCCCTCCACGTCGTCGCGGTCCGTATCCGAAATCTCGTCGCCGCTCGCAGCCGCCACCTCCTCCGCGAGGCGCAACCGCTCCGACACCGCGTCGAGCTCCCGCGACGCGGCGATGCGCTCGCGCGTGATGGCCGTCGCGCGCTCGCTCTCGAATTTCACGCGCTCTCGGAGGAGATCTTTCACACGCACCAGATCGCTCGCTGCCTCCTCCGCGGCCGCGACGAGTTCCCGCGTCTCGTCCGCGCGCGCGCGGATGCAGACCTCGGAGCGCTCCAGGGTCTCGAGCCGTTCCCGCCATCGGTCCTTCTGGAGCTTGAGCTCCTCCGTGTTCGGCGGGTCGACGTCGCCCGTGTTCGTGCTCCGCAAGCTCCGCTTCCGCGGCTGGCGCGTGGCCTCCTCGACCGCGGCCTCCTCGAAGTCGGCCCGGAGGGCGCTCGCGGGCGCCGCGCCGACCAGCGTTGCCGCCGCCGTTACGAGGCTCGCGACGGCGGCGACCACGCCGAAGACGGCCGCCGCGAGGCGAGGGAGCAGGCCCTCGTCCGAGTCGTCGACGGGGCCGCGCGCGGGATCGTCCAGCGTAATGGCCGGTTTCTTCGAGGACGGCGACGGGGTTCCCAGCTTCGACGGCGTCGTCGGTTTTTTGCGTCGGCGATTCCCCATCGCTGCTCGATCGTGTCCAGCAGGCGTCGTGTCATTCTTCTCAATGAGATTGTGGCCGGGGGTTAACAACGATACCGACGAGTGGATGCTACCTACGATTTCAACATAGAGGCGAGCTAATGATGGCCGCTGTAATGCATCGCAGGCAGCCCTTCAGAAGATGAAACACCTCCTACTCGTCCTCCTCTCGCTCCGCGCCGCCGGCGACGCGATCTACCGCGTCGACTCGCGCGAGGCCTGCGACGAGACCGGCGCGGCGCCGTTCTGCGTCGACTTCGTGCACGCCGAGCTCGAGGCGGCGGCGCGCGCCTTCTGCGAATCCACACAAATCTGCGTCGCCGGCGAGGCCGCGTCCCTCGCGGCGGAGGCGCGGCGCGCGCTGCTCGCGCGCGGCGACGCCGCCGAGGCCGAGCTCCGGCGCCGCTTCCGGTGCATGCTCGACCGGAACGCGACGGACGGCTGCCAGCACGGCGAAGACCAGGGGCCACCCGGTGACGACGGGGCTCGCGAGCGTCGACTACTTCCTCGGCCTCGACACGGAGGTCGACGGGGCTTCGGACCACTACGCGGAGCAACTGGTGCGCGCGTCGTGGGTGAACACGGCGCCGTTCCAGATCAAGGCCCTCGAGCGGCAGCCCCGGGGCGACCTGCTCGAGCGGGACCCCGGCGGCGCCTTGTATTTGATCCTGGGGCGGCTCTTCAAGGTCCACGCGCTCTTCGACGACATCTTATTGGACGTCCTCGAGGCGGACCCGACGGGCGTCGTCGCCGTCGTCTCCGAGCCGCAGCGCCAGCTCACGTCGTTGATGTTCCGGCGCCTGCGGGCGAGCGCGGGCGCCCGGAACCGCGCGCACCTCCTGGAGCGGCTGCGCGTCGTCGACTACTGGAATTACGTGAACGCGCTGTCGAACGCGCGCGTCGCGCTCGACACGTACCCCTACGGCGGCTGCCTCACGGCCCTCGACGCGCTCTCCAACGGCGTGCCCCTCGTCGTGCTCCCGGGCCCCCTGGAGCGCGGCCGCCACGCCATGTCCATCTACGGCCAGATGAACCTGACGGACTTCGTCGCGCGCGACGCGGCGGACTACGTGCGCCTCGCGGTGGCCCTCGCCACGGACGACGACGTCCACGCGCGCGCCGTCGGCGAGATCCGGGCCAAGTACCCGGACGCCCACCGCGCCGGCGACGTCGCCGCGGAGTGGGCCGGCGCGTTCCTCCGCATGACCGCGGCGCCGTCTAGGCTAAAGAGTTGAGACGGCATCACAGACCCGCTCAAAACCCCTCCCCGGCTCTCTCTAGCGCGCATTTCGGGAGAGCCCCGGGGGACGCCATGCCGTCCCTGAACATGAGCGAGGCGGACAGCGCGTCGGAGCAGCTGGGGTCGCCGGCCCTGTCGCCCGACAGCCCGACCCCCCGCAACTCCATGCTGCCCGCGAGCCTCCAGAACGGCGGCAGCGGCCGGTCCACCCAGGGGGGGGGCCTGGGCGCCCCCAAGGGCAGCCCCGGCGTGTCGACGGAGCGGCGCGCGCGCATCGGCGCGCGGAAGAAGCAGCAGAAGATCGAGGGCGCCAAGTACGCGACGGGCCGGCGCCAGCGGCGGGCGAACCAGCTCGACATCCACAAGGAGATCCTGGGCGCGGGGAGCTGGCAGCGGTGCCCGCGGTGCCAGAGCCAGACGACCTTCTGCTCGAGCTGCGCGGCCAAGTTCGACGAGATGGTGCCCGAGGCCCTCTGCCGCCAGCTCGCCTTCGGGCCCGACGTGGAGCAGGAGTTCCAGCAGATGTTCGAGGATTTGAGCCACCGCGTCGACGAGAAGTGCGCGTCGAACCGGTCGAGCGAGGTCGTGCCCGGGGGCACGCAGACCGCCAAGCAGCGGCGCATGACCAAGGCCCGCGTGCTGGACGGGCTGCGCATCGACAACATCACGCAGAACATCGAGCGCGACAAGCGCGAGAAGTCGGGCCTCCTCGTGCGCCAGTCGCCCATCGACGTCATGCCCGCGGAGGCCGTCCAGTGGCTCGCGGGCATCGACGACGCGACGCGGTCCTGGATCTTCGCCCACAACGAGCGCATCACGAAGCACCAGGCCTGGCTCACGTCCGACGCCGTCGACCGCGAGATGTCGAACCAGGACGACCGCATCAACATCCGGAAGGAATTCAAGGGCGTCAAGAACGTCCACTTCGACGCCATCAACCGCCGCGACCTCGGCCGGCCCGCCGCGACGCTCCGCCTCCCGCCGACGCTCGCGGACGTCAAGGCGCGCATCGAGGACCGCGCGAAGACCTACGTCGCGCGCAAGGCCTAAACGTGTCGGTTGGATCGGCTCGGCGCGGGCGGTGGGGGCGTTGGTGGCGCCGCGCGTTGCGATCGAGGATCCGTGCATCGGCGACGGTCTGCCGTGCCTAAGCTTACAGCAACACGCCGGCACTTGCAGAGATCTTGCCTCTCCCGCGGTCGGCCGATGCGCGCAATTAGACGGGGACTGACTGCCCTCTATCTGCCCACGAGAACAAATGGCACTCGCGCAATTTTCGTCAGCGGCCGCGCCCGCGACGCGACGGCCGCGCGCGCGACCGGCGGTCCTTTGGCAAGCGCTGGCGGACGCGCCGCGGCTCGAAGTCTGCGGCTTCCTCGCCTCTGTCGATCTACTCCGCCTTGAAATGTGCGCCCGCCAGAGCATGGGCGACCGTGCCCTCGCCTTCAAGCACGCCGCCGACGCGATCCGTTGATCTGTCGAGCGACAAGCAAATCGTGGCTCAGCATGCACGTCTGCGATCGTTGTTACCATCTTCGATGGACGAAGCCTTGCAATCCTTGCAGGCGACGAATCCGAGTGATGATCGCCCAGCCATGTCCGACTTTACTTTCGCGTGGGCGTTCTTCCATGAAGACTCTGGTCTACGGACGGTCGTGTTTGAGCGTTTGAATTGCGTGCCCGATGCCGAACTTCGTCCTGGTGATCCGTTTCATCGAATGGCCACCTACGTGTTCGAAGTTTCAGCGGACGCTCCTGGTCATGCAGCCATGGCGCCGATATTACTGGAGTCTCAAGAATGTGAAAGGAGAGGAAGATCTCACGAGTTCGTAGACTCGTGGGACCCGTGCGCGTACCTCTACTGCACGAGAAAACGCGATGGTGCTGTCTGCAAGGTGGCAAGCTTCGACGCGCTTGAAGCCAGTATCAACGAGTTTGAGTCCAATGATCAGAATCGACATGGAAGTGTGCACTTTCCCTATGGCCATCTGTTTTTGGACGTCAATGACGAGACTAACACAATGGTGGTCCTGTCATTCGACAAGGTTACAGGGCAGCTGGCTGCACTTAGCTTTTCTATCTTCAAAAGCGAGGAATACGAAGAAGAATTGCAGGCGAGCGAGTTCCGGGGCCTGCTCCACGCCAAGCTCGAAAGGGAAATGACGCGAGGACTCGGGGCCTCAGGAGGCGCAGACGCTCCCCCAACCTAGCAGACTAGGAACCCCGCGACGGCTAGCTTACGTCCTTGGCGCCCCGCCCGTCGCGGTCGTCGCCGCCGTCGCCGCGGACGACGGACGAGTAGGCGAGGTCGCGGCGGAGCGCGTCCGTCGCGCGCGCGGCCGCGCGCGCGAGGGACTTGGGCAGGTCCGCGTCGCGGGCCCGCGCGTCGGAGGGCGGCTCGAGCCAGGACGCCGGGCCGTCGCGGGCCGCGCGGCGCGCGCGGCGCCACGCGCGCGCGGTCCGGGGCCACCGCGCCTCGGAGAAGTAGCCGCCGTCGCCCGCGAGCGAGACCTCGTCGGCCTCGAAGAAGAGGCTCGCGTCCTCGGCGAGGTCCTCCGTGAGGGCCGACGCCGTCGTCCGCGGCGTCGTCGCCGCGGGGTCCGCGGGCGCGGCCGCGGCGCCGGCGTCCGGCAGCGCGGACGGAAGCTTCCGCCGCTTCCGCGGCGCCATGCGCGGGCCGAGGTGGCGCACGAGGCTCCGCGTCTCGCGCTTCGCGACGCGGTCCGCGACGACGTCCGCGAGGCGGTTCGCGTCGCCTAAACCCTTGGCGGCCTTGGCGATGGCGCTCCGGAGCCGCCGCTCGAATTTCGCGTCGCCGTCTCCCGAAACTCCCGGCCCGACGTTCGAGAAGAGCTGGCCCCGCCACTCGGCCCAGGGCGTGTGGGGCCCCGCGCCGGAGATCGTGAGCCATAGATCGAGGGCCAACGGCGACGCCGTCATGCCCCAGTGGTAGCTGTGCATGACGAGCGACGCGAGCGCCAACCGCGCCGGCGGCGCGCGCGCGTCGAGCGCCGCGGCGCCGACGAGCCGCTCCGTCGCCGCGTCCCAGGTCAGGGGCCGCAGGGCGTCGGGGACGACGCGCACCGGCGTCGACGACGGGAGATAACGCGCCCGGTCGTCCTCCGCGGCCGCGAGCGCCGCGGCGAGCTCTTTCCGAAACGACGCGGCGTCGCCCGGCGCGACCGCGTGGCATCCGTCGAACTGGTAGAAGAACTCGTTCGACGGGTGCTTTGCGATGACGACGCGCTTCCCCATGGCCAGCGCCTCCGCCGTCGCCGTGCAGAGCACCTCGCTGATCGACGGGTTGACGAAGACGTCGTACGCCCCGAACACGTTCGCGTCCGCGTGGTCCGCGGGGCCCCGGAAGTCGAGGCCGACGCCGAGGATCTTGGACTTGGCGACGATGTCGTCGAGGTCCGGGCCGCCGCCGTAGCAGTCGACGCGCGCGTCCGCGTCCGCCGCGCCGTCGCCGAGGAAGACGAGCAGCTGGTCGTAGCCCTTGGCCCACATGGCCTTGCCGAGGAAGTAGCACCGCGCGTCGCCGCCCCGCGGCGGGAACGCCGGCGGCCCGCCCGCCGCGCCGACGTCGAGGAAGGGCTTGCGGACGCCGTGGACGTTCGCGACGCGCGAGTGCGGCAGCGGCCGGAGCGTCGCGCTGAGCTGGACGACGACGTCGCAGTGGGCCCGCGTCACCGTCTCCGTGAAGACGCGCTCCGCCAGGACGTCGAAGCCGACGCGGCCGTCGCGCGACTCGAGCGTCGCGTAGGCCTCGTAGTTCGTGTGCGCGACGCCCACGACGTGGCGGAACCGCGACGTCCACCGGGGCCCGTTGCGGTACCAGTTGAGGTGCTCCGGCTCCTCGAGGATGACGACGTCGTCGCAGGCCCGGGGGATGTGGGACGTGATGTCGTCCAGATTCAGGATGCTGCCGAGGCCCGCGGCGTAGCGCGCCGGGTACCAGCCGATCTTCAGGGAGCTCGACCCGTCGGGCCCCACGGCGTCCGGCGCGTTCTCGGCGATCCAGGCCCGCACGAAGGCCTCCTGGGCCGCGGGCTCCGGGAAGCGGCACGCGCCGAAGAGCGCCGTCTGGTCGCCGCCGTCGGCCATCCACGGGAGCATGAGCGTCACGTCGCCGTAGCCGCCGCCGGCCATGTAGGCCGCGCGCAGCGCCGGGTTCACGGCCGTGCCCGTCATCCAGGGCAGCGACGCCGTCGTGACGATGACGACGGACCGGTCTTTGATCGACAGGTCGCTGTCCTCCGTGACGAACTCGCGCTCCACGCTCGGCGCCAGCGGCGGCAGCGGCCGCAGGTCCAGGGCCGGCGCGCGGCGCCGCGCGAAGCCCAGGGCCGAACCGGGACCGCACCGGAGCGGGGGCACCCAGCCGCGCGCGGCGGCGAGCAGCAACAAGAGCGTGCTGCAACCCATTGCTTGCTTCTCGCTCTGCCTCAACATCTCTTCATTTTGAATCGGAGGTTGACCTCCACGCGACAAACGCGCGCGAACAGCCTCCGCACGCATTACAGCCGCCGGTCCGCGGCGACGGCGTCGGCCGCGCGGTCCTCGAAGGACCACGTGAGCTCGCCGTCCTTGTGGAACTCCATGGCGACGCCGACGCTCGTTTCGAGGTTGAGGACGACGTGGCCCCAGCCCGAGGGCACGTAGAGCGCCGCGTCCTCCGGCTGGGTGCAGACGAGGACGTCGACGCCCGCGCGCCGCAGCGCCTCGACGCGGCCCTTCTCCAGCCAGGCCGCCGCGGGCAGCTTCGAGTACGCCGCGTGCTTCGGCGGGAAGAGGAGCCAGCGCTTGCGGCCCCGCACGAGGGCGTTGAGCGCGTGCGCGTGGTAGTGCGCCGGCGCGCCGCTCAGCGCGTCGCCCGCGTAGAACTGCGCGTTGTGCACCGCGTAGCCGCCGTCGAGCAGCGGGAGCGCGCCGACGTTGTCCTTCAACAAACTCTGGAAGGGGTGGTCGCCCGGCCGGCCGTCCCAGCGGATCTGCTCGAAGACGTAGGACGGCGCGTCGGCCGCGGCGCCCGCGCGCGCCTGGCCCAGGGCCACCGCGCTGTCCGCGGCCGCGGCCGCGAGCGCGTCGCGCAGCGACGCGACGGTTTCGCGAGACCGGAACGCGGACGCGTAGGGGATGGCGCCCGCGCGCACGTGGGCGCCGCCGTGCGTCTCGAGCAGGCGCGTCCGGTTCGCCCACTCGCGGCGCGCGCCGTCCCAGGTGCCGTCGAGCGCGCCCGCGAAGAGCGCGGGCGCGCCCGCGTCCACGAAGCCGCCCAAGTCCGCGAGGTTCGCGCCGCGGGCCACGCGCGCGTCGCAGCCGTCCCCGGGCCCGTCGAGCTTCGCGCCGCCGGCCGTCGCGGCGCCGAAGTCGGCGTGCCAGAGCTCGCGCGCGGCGCGCGACTCCGCGAGCAGCGGCGCGCCGCCGGCGCCGAGCGCCCGCCGCAGCGCGTCCCGCGCGCGCCGCGCGTCGGGCGCGTCCGTCCGGGCGTCGCCGTCGGGCACGAGGAACGGGTGCAGGTCGTGGAGCGCCGTCCGGTTGGCGTCGTCGCGCAGGTACGGGTCCGCGCCCGCGTTCAACAGCAATTCGACCACGTTCCCGAGGAAGCCGCAGTCCGCGAGCGCGTCGCCCGTCGCCAGCAGCGGGTAGCCCGCCCGCAGCTCGTCGTAGCCCGGCAGCGAAACGGCGCAGGCCGGCGCCCCGTCGAGGGCCTGGGTCCGGAGCCGCGCGTCGACGGGCTCGGCGGAGTCTTGCGACGCCGCCAGGAGCCGCGGCACCGTGATGGCCCAGTTGCGCCAGCTCGCCGCGACGGCGAGGGGCGCGAAGCCGCCGACGCCGTCCCGCGCCGCGAGCATGGCGCGCCGCACGTCCTCGTCCGGCGCGCTGTCGAGGAGCATGGCCGCGCCCTCGAGGTTCCGTTTTCCGACGGCGACCTGGGCAGCACAAGGGTGATTCAACGTCGCTTCAACGTGAGTGTTCCGCGCGCGCGCGTTCCGGAAAAAGCATCCACGCTTCGAGACCGTTCCGAGAGATGATCGCTCGTCCAAAAATCAGCCGAAACGAGTGGAAAATGGCCGAGATCGGAGCCTTTGAAGTTGGGAATTTCGCTCTCTTGTCCTGCCCTGACGGCGACGTGCAGCGGCGTCTCGCGCGCGGCCGTCCGCGTGGGCTCCAACAAATCGCCGCCGGCGTCGACGAACATCTTCGCCAGCGAGTTCCAGGGGCTCGGCGCCGGGCGCGTCGGGAAGTAGGCCGACGCCCACTTGAGCAGGACGCGGTGCAGCCCGTTGAGCCCGTCCGGCGGCGGCCGCTCCCCGAAGTTCACGCACGCGCCGCCGCAGCCGTCGACGACCTCCTTGGCCGTCGCGAAGAGGCTCCGCGACTCGCAGCGCAGCGCCAGGTCCAGCGCGCGGTAGCCCCGGCGGTCGTAGGTCGCCGCCGCGTCCGCGCCGAGCGCCTGGGCAGCACAAGGGTGATTCGACGTCGCTTCAACGTGAGTGTGCCGCGCGCGCGCGTTCCGGAAAAAGCATCCACGCTTCGAGACCGTTCCGAGAGATGATCGCTCGTCCAAAAGTCAGCCGAAACGAGTGGAACACGGCCGAGAGAGGAGCCTTTGAAGTTGGGCATGTCGCACCCTTTTGCTGCCCCGCCGAGCGCGAGCAGCGCGCGCGTCGCGCGCGCGTCGCAGTCGCGCGCGGCCCGGAGCAGGGGCGTGTCGCCCCATGGAACGTCCGCCGCCGACGCGAAGAAGCCCTCGTCGGCCCACAGGCCCCGCGCGTCGACGTCCGCGCCGACGGCCCGCAGCGAGGCCCGGTGCGCCTCGAGGTCGTCGGCGGCGACGGGCGCGGCCGCGCGGCCCTTCTTCGACGCCGCGGCCGCGTAGACCCGGCGCAGGGCCTCGAGCCGCGGCGACCCGGCGCTCCACTTGCGGCCCCGGGCGCACTCGGCGTCGAGCGCGAGCAGCGCGGCGTCGACGGCCGCCGAGTTCGCGCCCGGCGCGAGCCGCGTCACGGCGCCGTAGCGCAGCAGGCCGACACTGTCGGCGCTCGCGTTGCCGACGCGGCTCGGGTCCACGAGCAGCAGCTCGCCGCCCGCCGCGCGAAACGCCGCGCGCAGCGCCCACCGCGCGGCGCGCGGCGCGACGACGACGCCGCAGCCCGCGGGCTCGCCGCCGCCGCCGCAGCCCGCGCCCGCCGCCGCGCAGGCGAGGGATTCGGCGGCGCCGCGCAGGTCGCCGAGGTCGTCCAGGACGCCGCGCAGGGGACCGGCGGCGGCGGCGGCGACGGCGAGGACGGCGACGGCGACGGCGGCCCCGATTTTCGCCGCCCGGGATTGCTTGGGCGGCGCCGCGTCGGATTGGTGGGCTTTCTTCGTCGCGCCGTTCTTACCCGGCTTGGACTTCTTCGTCGGCTGCGACGCCTGCTTCTTCGAAGCCATCGGCGTTGCCGCGAACCGCTCGGCGACGAAGCAGGTCGCAAGATCAAGGTCGCCGTGAGCCAGCCGCAGATCGGCGCCTTCAACGAAGGCTCAATGAGGCCCGCAAGAGTTCATCAACATCCGTAAAGGAGGAGCCCAGTGTGTTCGCAAGGGCGCTGTGGCGCCGGGGGCGGGGTCCTTTCGGCGCGGGAGAGTGGCGCGCGCGCGGGGGCGCGGGGCGGGGGCCGCGGGAGGGGGCTCGCGACGCGGCGCCTAGACCCGCGGGCGGTACAGGACGTAGAGGAAGTGGCCGCCGGCGGTCGCGGCGTCGGCGGCGCCGTCGGCGCCGTAGCCGTCGTCGGCGTCCTTCTCCCAGACCGCGTTGGGCTTGCGGGCCTCGAGGCCCGCGTTTACGGCCGCCTCGAGCCGCGCGGCGTCCTCGGCGCCCGCGAGCTCGTGGAGCAGGAGCATCGTCGGGGGGTCGCGCTTCTCGGCCGCCCGGCCCTTGTGGCGCGCGTAGCGCTTCTGCGCCGCGGCGAGGCCCTTGGCGAGCCCCACGTAGACGGGCCCGTCGGCCCGCGCGGCGACCTCGCCGATCTTGCCGTCGACGGCGGCGGCGGCGGTGACGTCGTAGTAGACGCCGGGCAGCGGCTCGTCCGCGGGTCGTCGCTCGAGGCTCGCCTTGCGCGCCTCGTCCTCCTTCTTCGCGCTCCGCACGCGCTCGAGCTCCTTCTCCTTGTCCTTGAGCAGGATCTTCGCGCGCTTGAGCTGCGTCTCGAGGTCGCTGACCGCGTAGCGGCTCTCGACGACGCCGTCCTCGAGCGACGTCCGCTTCGCGTCCTTGGCCGCGATGCCCCGGTCGAGCTCGCCGTCCTGGGACGCGCGCGCGCCGGCGAGGTGCAGGATGGACGTGGGGTCCGCCGTGCCCGGGCCCGCGTCGCCGTCGCCGCCGCGCGACGCGCCGGGCGCCTTGGGGCTCCCCGCGCCGCCGCACTTGGGCGTCCACTCCTTGCGGAGCTTGTTGATGACGGCCTGGCCCTCCTTGCCCTTGAGCTTGAGCTCGTTGTAGCGCTCCATGGACGCCGTCGGGTCCTCGGCGATCCACTTCTGGAGCCAGGGCCCGACCTTCTTGCCGCGCTTCTCGACGCGCGGCGGCTGCGCGGGCACGGCCGGGTCCGGGGCGTGGTCGGGCCGCGACGACCTACGGTACGCAGGGGGGGGTCTGGTGTTGTTCGCGCGCGGGGCGGTCGCGCGGGGCGGGCGGGCGCGGAGCGGCCGGCGCGGCGGGGCCCGGACGCGGCGGACGCGCGCGTAGATGGTCGCGGCCGCCGGGGGCGCGCCGGCGCGCGACGGCGACGTCGGCGCGGGGGGCGCCGCCGCGCCGTTGGCGTCGGGATTCTTCTTGGGCCGCCCGCGCTTCTTCGGCGCCTCGCCGTCCTCGGGCACCTTCTTGGGCCGCCCGCGCTTCTTCGGCGCCGTCTCGACGGCGACGGCGGGGCCCTCCTCTTCGCCGTCGTCGCCCGCGGACTCCGCCTCCCGCCGGCCCGCCGCGTCGCTCGACTTGCGCGGAGCGGCAGCCATGTCCATCGTGTGGCCGAGGGGCGGCTTTTAACAGCCTGTTTTGGTTCCCGTGGTTGAATTTGGTTTCCATTTCGTGTGAATGTTGCACTTTAACATTCGGGGCAGCCTCGGCTCCGCTATGATGAGATGACACGACTGCTGCCTCGGTGGAGCGTTGCCGCCGTCGCGCTGTCGTGCCTCGTCGGCGCCGAGCGGCCGTCGGTGCGCGCCGTCGTCGCGCGCGCGCGCGCGGCGCGGCTGCCGCTCGTGGGCGTGTTGCTGGCCGGTCCCTTGGAACGGCGCGGCTTCGGGCCGCGCGCGGCGGAGCTGGACCGCGCGATCGTCGCGCCCGTCGCGCGCTCCTGCGCCGCGGCGGTCTTCGCGGCCGTCGAGCCCGCCGGTGCCGTCGCCGAGTGGCGCCGGACGCTCGGCGCGCTGCACGGCGCCGCCGCCGTCGCCGTCGAGGCCGCGGGCCGCGGCGCGCTGGCCAACGGCCAGTGGCGCAACCTCGTCGCCGCCTACGGCCTCATGGCGCGCGTTGAGGCCGACGCGAACGCGAGCTTCTCCCACGTGATCAAGTCGCGCGTCGACCTGTCCTACCGCAACGCCCTCGACGTGCCCGCGCTCCTGGCCCTCCCGGACGACGCGCTCGCCGTGTGCTCCAAGCAGTTCCAGTCCAGCCGCCGCTTCCTCGCGATCGACGACGGCAAAGTCGCGAACACGCTCCGCTTCCCGACGACGCCGGACCAGCTCGTCGTCGGCCCGCGCGCCGCGATGGACGTGTGGATCGGCGCGGGCGCGTTCTTGGAAAACGCGACGGCCTCGAGCGAGGTCGAGCGACGCTTCGGCGCCTGGAACATCGAAAAGTATTTCGGCGCGTACCTCGTCGCCGCGCACGTCCGGGTCGCCATGGTCGACGTGCAGCTCGGCCGCTTCCGCGACGCCGCGGAGGCGCGGGACGCGCCGTGGGTCGAGGGCCCCTGCGCCGCGTGCTTCGACGCCGACCGCGGCGGGCCGTTCTCGCCCTTCGCCTTCGGCGCCCGGGACCTCGAGGCGAACTGGCTCGCGCCGCGGACGGCCGGGGCGTAAAAGTTACGCGGCGTCTAGCATGGCGGCCGCGCGCGCGCGGAGGTCGCGGCGCAGGTCCGCGACGGCGTCCGCCGTCACGGCCTCGAGCTGCGCGTCGCCGCGGAGCACGGCGCCGGCGACGGCGAGCGCGAAGGCGCCGCAGTCGTGGCCGTTCGTCTGCCGGGGCGTCCGCGCGTGGTCCGGCGCCGCGGCCCGCCGGCCGAAGCACCGGGCGAGCTTCGCCGCGGCGGCCTCGGCGGCGCGCGCGTTCTTCGGGTGGCCCAGGGAGTCGTAGTGGGCGGAGCGGTCCTCCGCGACCCAGTAGACGAGGAGGCTCCAGTGGCTCGACCCGCCGACGACGAGCGCGTCCGCGTCGCTCACGGCCGTCGCGACGACCGCCGGCGGGCCGCCGCCGCGCGCGGCCAGGCCGCGGCCGAGGTCCGCGAACTCGTCGTCGTCGTCGCACTGGAGCATCATGAAGCTGTAGACCGCGGGATCCAGCAGCGCGACCGACGCCGCGGCATCGCCGAGGTCGTCCTCGAGGAGCTTGAAGCCGAAGTGGATGCAGCGGTCGTTGAGCCAGTTCGGCGCGTCGTAGAGCGCGGCGTCGGCGCGCTCGAGCACGGCGTCGCGGTAGTTGAGCATGGTTGTGCGATGTGATTTTGGAATGCGAGTCGCTGCCGCTGCCGACGCGCGCGGTCGCGGCGCGCGAAGCTGTCGATTGCGTGCGCGACGGCGCGTGCGCGTCGCTGCGACGTGTGCGGCGCGTCGGAGCGCGCGAAGCCGTCGACGCCGCGGCGCGGGCTGGAGTGCCAAGTGGAGTTGGCACCACCTCCGACGCCTCCGCGGAGATGCCATGACGGTCACTTGAGAAGGCCTTTGAGATGTCCTCGCGCGCGCGCTCGCCCCCGCACGCGCTCGACCGCGCGCCGCGCCGCGCGCCCCTTCGAGATAGGCGGGTGGTGCGAGTCGTTAGAGCCGCCGGGGGCGCCCCCCGGCGGCGGGCAAGCGCTCCTCGCGCCGCTCCTCCTCGCGCGGCGTCGCGGGGTCGTCGGCCGCGGCGCCTAGTTCCAGTAGGGGAGGCTGGAGAAGATGTCGAACTGGGACCAGGCGGCGCCGAGGCCGCCCGTGCCCGCGGAGGGGAAGGAGGAGATGAACTTCAGCGTGTAGTCGTCGAGCGGCGACAGGGGCAGCTGCGAGAGCGGGAGGTCGACGGAGAGGCCCGTGATGCCGCTGGCCTCGACGATGTAGTTGAGGAGCGTGAGCGGGGGCACGGCGCCGGGCGCGGCGGACTCGGAGAGGAGGGAGAACATGCCGAGCATCGCGAGGCGGCCGTTGTTGATCTCGACCTGGCGGCCGCGCGCCTTCTGCTCGGGCGACGTCTCCGGGAACCAGTTGAAGGGGTCGTAGAGGTTGAAGCCGACCTGGCCGAAGCCCGCCTTGCCGGAGATGGGCGGGAAGTAGCCCGGGAGGCCGCCGGAGCAGTAGTGGACGTAGCCCTCGGGCGAGCCCGCGCCCTCGCCGTACGACTCGAGCATGCCGACGAGGACGAGGATCTGGAGCTTGCCGATGGCGGGCACGTTCTCCCACTGCTCCTGGGGCGACACGTTGGACACGTAGCCGCTGTAGGGCTTGAGGATGTGGTCGCCCGCGACGATGGGGAGCGACTGGAGGCAGAAGCCGAGGAAGCCCGCCATGGCGACGCGGCCGTGCTTGATCTCGGCGTGGCGCAGGTAGCCGATCGTCGCCTCGTTGCCCAGGCCCCAGAAGTCGCCCTCGGCGATGAGGTTGAAGGGGTCCCAGAAGCCGATCGTCGACCCGAGGAAGTCGGGGTTCGCCTCGGCCAGCTCGACCATCTCCTGCTTGCCGTTGAGGGCCGTGGCGGGCTTGGACACCGCCGGCGCGACGTAGGCCTAGGAGAGGGGCGCGTCGGGGTCGCGCGCGGGGGGGTCGCGGCGCGCGCGTCGCTCGCCGGCAGCCTCTCGCGCCGTCGGCGACGCCCGGCGCGTCGGACGGCCCGCCGGGCGCCCCGGGGCTCGTTTTCCGCCGCGCGCGCGCCCCGCACGCCCCGGCGGCATCCGGACGCCGATCCGTACCGAAGCCGAGCCGAGAGCGAGAGCGAGGACAGCAGTACGAGCCATGGTTACAGTCGAAGGTCTTGCCGATCCCGAGCTTCGCGAGCCGCACGCCCGCGGCAAGATCGCGCCGGGGGTCGCCCGCCCCGGCGCCGCGACACGATCACGATCGCGACTCGATCCCCTCCCTTACAGCACCTCGGCCCCCGGGTGGGGCTTGAGCCCGTCCTGCGCGTCGAGGCCGTCGTCGGCGGGCCGCGCCCCGCGGGCGTCCTCGTCGTCGGAGTCCTGGGCGAGCGGCGCGTGCGCGGTGGGCGGGGGCGGCGCGCGCGACCGGAAGCAGCGGACGCAGACCGCGAGGACGGCGGCGAGGGCGAGGCAGAGCACGGGCGGGAGGGCGAGGACGGCCTGGACGCGCGCGTCGCGGAGGCAGTCCGCCGTGCAGGACCGCGCGCCGGGCTCCGGGCGCGCCGCGGCCGCGGAGACCGCGGGCGCGGCCGTCGGGCGCGGCGTCGGCCCGGGCGTCGGCCGCCCCGACGGCCGCGGCGTCGGGCGCGGCGCCGGCGCGCAGCCCGGGTCCGCGCCGCCCGCGGTCGTCGAGATGGACTGCGACGCGTCGCCGAGCGACGCGCCGCGCACGAAGCGGTCGATCATGTCCAACGCGCGCGCCGGCGCGTCCATGGGCACCATGTGGCCGCTGTCGAGCACGGCGAGGTACGTGAGCTGGCCGTAGGCGTTCTTGACGTAGCCCGCGGGCGCCGCGGACGACCCGACGTACCAGACCTGCTTGCCCGACCGCGCGTACGAAGTCGCGCCGGCCCAGGCGAGCTTCTCGAGCACGGTCTCCGTGCGCAGGTGGTTGCAGACGAGGTCGCGGACGCCGTTGAAGAAGAGCACGCGCACCGTGCGGCGGGGGTCGTCGAGCACCGCCGCGAGCTCCGCGGACACGCCGACGCCGTCGCGGCTCGAGAGCGCGTCGTAGGGCGGGTCCGTGCACTCGAGGAACGCCGCGCTGTGGGTCACGTGGATGGCCCGGCGCACGGCGCGCACGTTCAGGTAGCGCTCCAGCGCCTTGTGGCCCGGCGGGAACTCCGCGCCCGGCGGCTCCCAGCGGCCGACGTCGTACATGGACACGCGCGCGCGGCTCCTCGACCCGCTGTCGGCGACGACGTCGTCGAGGAGGTCGAAGCACACGCGCGAGTTGTAGACGCCCCGGTCCAGGTTCGCGACGCACTGGCGCTCCTTGGACGCGAGCGTCCGCGCCTGGCCCTCGGAGACCTGCGCGGGAAAGAGGGCGATTCGACGTCGCTTCCATGCGAGCGTTCCGGCGCGCTCCGGAGAAAGCATCCACGCGTGCTCCGAGGGATGATCGCTCGTCCAAACATCGGCCGAAACGGGTGGAAAACGACCGAGCGAGGAGCCTTTGGGAAGTTCGCGCGCTTTTCCCGCCCCGTCGGAGACGAGGCCCAAGCCGTGCGCGACCTCCGTCGCCGCGTACTGGTACCGCGGCTCCGTCCAGCCGTTGCCGATGGCCAGGCCCGCCAGCGAGATGACGCGGTTCTGGGCCTCGCCGTTGCGGTCGAGGACGTACCTGTGTGGAATTCAACCACTGGTTTGGGTGGTCCTGACCAAACTTCAGAATTCTCTAGCTCGGTCAAATCGAAGTCGATTCGGCTGATTTTTGGACGAATCGATTGCTCTCGTGGAGTTCTCGAAGCACGGCAGAAAGCCTCGCGTCAAAACTGTCGCATACGCGCACATTGAAGTCGGGTTGAAGATTTGGTGTCCACGCAGGGACGTACTTGGCGAGGTGCGGCACGTAGTGCCCCGCGTGCGACTCGCCGGCCATGAAGAAGTCGACCCTCGCGCCGTCCTGTTTCACGAACTTGTCGGCGTGGAGGTCGAAGAAGTTGAGCAGGAAGGCGTGCATGGCGGAGGAGATCTCGTCGTCGTCCCGGCAGCAGTCCGACGCCCACGACGTCCGGCACCCGGAGCTCAGGCCCGTGCCGAAGGGCTGGTCGACGAAGAGGACGTTCGCCGCCTCGTGCCAGCCGTGGGGGTTCACGGTGACGTCGTAGGACCCGCCGCCGAGCTCCGCGAGCCGCAGCGGGCCGAGCTCCAACCACAGGCCGTCCATGCTGCTGCAGCCGGGCCCGCCGTTGAGCCAGAGCACGAGGGGCTTCGACGCCGGCGCCTCCGCCGCCTCGAAGAGCCAGTAGAAGAGCTGCGCGCTCCCGCGGCCCGCGTCGAGCAGGCCCGCCCAGTGCCGGCTCGCGAGGCGGCCCTCGGGCAGCCCGGGCAGGTCCGTCACGAGGTGGTCGTCGGCGCTCAGCGCCCGCGGCGCGCGCCGCGTCTCGGCGTCGGCGGCGGCGGCGCGGTCCGGCGGCGGCGGCGCGTCGCGCCGGTCCACGCGCCGCCGAGCGCAGGCCAGCCCGACGAGGCACAGCATCCTGCGCATCATCGTGATTTCGGGGCGCGGCAACCAGCCAACTTGCCGATACATTGACGTCGTGCGAGTCGCCGCGCCCGACACTTCTGGAGGCGTGTTAAACTTGAATTTGAAAGCGCCGAGACGAGCCCCGCGCGCGGGCTGGGGCCGGCGGGGCGAGCCCTCGACGGCTTCGACGCGCCCCGCGATGTCCCCGAAGGACGCCCGCGCGAAAAGAGCTGCCGCGGACACCCCTCAGGAGAACCAGCCCGTCGGCGCTTCCGCGGGGACGAACGTCATCGTGAAGCTGATGCCGTTCCGGGAGGTGATCGTGTTCTTCATCGTTTTGCCGTCCTCGGCGATTTCGTATGTGGAGAAGCCGATCAACTCCGGTGTGTCGACGTAGACGTTCTTGGTCTCGATGACGCCGCCCTCCTTCACATAGGCGACGCTCATTACTTTGCGGCCGTCGTCGCCTACGACTTCGACCGGGGTCGTGTCGCCGAGAGTCCTCGGAACGCCCACTTTGTCCGACATCATGTAATGTTTGATTCGGATGAACTGACCTAGGGACGCGCGTCGTGTCGCGGGGAGGCGCCCGACGGGGAGCGGCGCACCGTCGACGACTTTCAGGGTATATTCGCTCCCGGGTTTCACCGCCGTCGCGAAGTTGACGACCTTGGAAACGGCCGCGTTGACGCCCATGTCTCTGATGCATCCCTCGAAATCGCCTGATCGCGCGGTCTGTACCCACCGCTGCTCTTTCCATTTCGCATGGAAGGCGTCATCTAGGGCCATGCCGCCGCGCCCGACACTTCCTCTGCGCCGGCCGCCGGGCAGCCCGCCGCGACGACGACGATGGATGTAAGCGCGCCCAATTAGGGCGATGTTGCCGTCTCAGTGCAGGGTGCCGGTCACTCGAGCTCGGCCTGGTCGAGCTGATCGGCCGCCGCGATTTCGGACAGGCAATTCCCCAGAAGACCCTCCTCGGCATCGCGGCGTTCGGCTGCCGCTGCCTGGGATGGCAGACGCCGTCGCCGTGGTCGCTGGCGAAGACGTCCGCGGGCATGCAGGAATTCGCGCTGCGGCGCACGCGCCACGCGGACCAGTACGATGACGACGCCGACGCACCCAACATGTTCCGCTTCACCACGGACATGGCGTCGGGACTCTCGACGATCCGCGAGCTACCAGCGACGTTCCTCGAGCTGACAACCGCTGCGAACGTCGCGACGAAACGCGAGCATTGCATCCCTTGGGGCGAAGCGTATCTATTATGGGTGGTGAATATGGGTCAAAAGATGAATCTATGGGACGTGACGTTAGTGTCTGGCGCCCAAAGTCGCTCTAAGAAATTATCTGCTGAAGATCTCCGCTTCGCGCCGGGGTCCGGCGAGGCCCCGACGGACGAGCCCGGCAATGTTTGTCCAATTTCAATGAATCGACTTCCTACCTGGGTCAACAGCGTCAGCTTCTCGGGTGAATTGGGTCGACCGCGGTATGGGCTGCGGGCGACCGTGAACATGCAAAGGTGCCCCTGCGGTCATCACACGACGGCTCTCGGGACTATGGAAACCAAGGCGCGGAACACGAAGGCGCTCGTTCTGAAGGAAGCCTATGCCAAGGCCTTGGCGCACGCAGACGCCGGCCACCACGGGTCCGGCGCCGAGCTGTTGCGCGCGGCGATTAGCGCTCTCGAGCGATAAGGCAATACTGGGCCCGCCGGCCTAGGAGCTGTCGCCGCCGTCGACCTTGTCGAAGGGCCGCTCGCTGTTGACGACGCGGGACGTGGTCACGGACCCGTCGAAGTCGACGACCTTGAAGGCGCCGCGGCACATGTTCTCCTCCGGCGCGATCATGGGGCTGATCGACGTGACGTCGACGGCGAGCAGGTTCATGTTGAGCTTGTCGACGGCCGTGAGGTCCGCGGACCCGAACCAGCCGTGGAGGCCGTCGTCGGCGTTCAGCGCGCACTTGCCCGAGTCGAAGAGGCCGCAGAGCGCCTCCTTGTCCGCGTAGCGCTTCGTCGACGCCAAGGAGCTCTGGATCGTGATCGACGTCGACGCGAAGGGCAGCGTCGCGCAGTAGCACGTCGCGTTGAGGTTGCCCACGGAGTCGCGCGAGTCGAAGAAGCAGGGCGCGCCGATGCAGGACGCGACGACGAGCTCGCCGCTCTCGCACGTCGCCTCCTTGTCGTCGGCGAACCCCTTGTAGGGGTTCCGGTCCGCGGACCAGTGGGGGAAGGAGATGAGGTCCGGCGACAGCGACGGGAAGAGAGCGTGGTCCGACTCCTGCGTGCGCATGGCGTCGCAGACGAGGTCGACGAGCTCCTTGTCGCCCCACTCGCCCCGCGCGTAGTGGGAGACCGCGTCGACGAAGTAGTCGCTGTGCGCCAGCAGGAACGACGCGAAGCCCGACGTGCGGTTGAGGTTCAGGTAGACGCTCTGCTCCATGACCGCCGCGCAGGAGCAGCTCGCGAGCCCGCCGGCCTTCAACACCTTGCAGCCCGCGTACTCGCAGAACGCGTAGGGCGTCTTCTCGCAGTGGCCCTCGACGTTCACCGCCTCGAGCATCTTGGCGAGCTTGACCTTGTTCTGGAAGGTCTTGGACGCGGCGTCGGGCGCCGGCCGGTCGTTGGGCGTGCCCGCGTTACTATTGCTGCCGCCGTCGTAGGGCGGCGGGTCCGCGAGGGCGGTGAGGGTCGTCGTCAACGCCGCCGCGGCGGCGCCGGGGCCGTAGAGGGCGACGCCGGCGGCGAGGGCCAGGGCGCCGGCGACGGCGACGACAGCGGCGGCAAGTCGCCGGGACCGCCGGGGCCGCGACAGCTCCTCCATTGCGGCCAGTCGGGGCTGCCGTGCTTGGATTGTCGGATTTTTAGAGATTCGTGAAGACTGCATCGTCGTGTGGTTTACCCGAAGGGCCGCGCGGGGTCGTAGGTGGCCGCCGCGAGGCGCGCGTAGATGGCCGCGTCCTCGGCGTAGGCCTCCTCCACGAGCCGCCGCGACGCGCGGCTCAGGTCCGCCGCGGTCAGGCCGCAGCCGTCCTTCGCGTTCCTCCGCTCCGCGTCGACGTCGCCGAGCCGGACGCGGAAGTGCCCCTCGAGCCGCCGCAGGTCCGCCGCGAGCGTCGGCAGGCGCAGCGCGTGCGCGCAGCCGCAGGCGCCGCCCTGGCCGCCCAGCCCGCCGTGCAGGTACGCGGTCTGCGCGAGCAGGTGGCAGCCGAGCGGGTGGCCCCTCGAGACGTTCTTCGCGCGGAAGCCCGCCGTCTCGTTGCCCCGCCGCAGCGACCGCACGACGAAGTCCTCGAGGTGCTGGCGCGTGCAGGGCGCGTCGTCCCGCCGGCGCTTCGCCAGGCGGTGGAAGTTGTGGCGGAACGCGGAGAGGAAGCGGGACACGGGCTCGCGGACGACGCAGAAGACGACCTTGCCGCAGTAGTGGTGTGCCGCGCGCCGCGGGGGCACGTGCCACGTCGGACAGCTCGCGGTGGCGTCGTGGTGGCCGGCGAAGCGGCCGAGGCACGCGCCCGCGGCGCGCGCGACGTCCTCGATCGTCGTGCCGGCGTTCTTCGCGATGTGGGAGAACCGGAGCGCCGCCGGCGCGGCGCACGACGCGTTCCGCGGCGGCGGCGCGGCGGCGCGCGGCGCGGGCGGCGCGCGTTCCGCGGCGGCGCGCGGCGCCACGCGGCGCGTGGCGGCGCGCGGCGCGGGCGGCGCGCGTTCCGCGGCGGCGCGCGGCGCCGCGCGGCGCATGGCGGCGCGCGGCGCGACGGCCTGCGGTCGTCGTAGGTTGAGCCGCGACGCGCCGCGCCGCAGCACGGCGAGCGGGCCGCGACGAGCGGGTGCCGCGTCGTTGTTGCCTGTGATTGCTTGCACGCAGGCTGCAGCGATGGCCAGCGCGCGCGCGCGCCGCATTGCGCTGCCCTGCCGAGAAGGCAGCACTCGTGCAGCAAAAGTTTCTTGTGGCAATTTCGCCGGGCTGCGGGATGATGCGTTCGAGTCCGGTGAAAATAGCGGGAGGCGAGGCTTCGTGGCAGAGGCAGGTCGCTGCGACGACGGCAAGGTGACCCATCGGCTTGGCGGAGCCATCCCTCGGGCGCGCGCGCGCGAGCACCCCCGGCGCCGGCGGGCCCGACTGGTAAAGTTCGACTCTCGCCTCGCTGTCAAAAAAGACGGAGTGGTCGAGCCGTCGACCGCCGCTTTCGACGTCGCGGTCGTCGTCGATCGGCGTTTCCCCGCCCCGCGGTCGCGCGATCGACGTGACGCGGCCGCGCCTGGCCGCACCCTTCTCGCCGCGCCGCGGGCGACCGGACGGTCGCTCAGTTATAGGCCATGGCGGCGGCGGCGGCGTCGCCGCCCGCGGCCTGGCAGCAGAACGTCGCGCTCCTGTCCACGGACGCGCCCGGCGCCAAGGATGACGGCGAGGCGAGCGACGAGCGCAAGGCCGAGGGCCAGGAGTCGCCGCGCGGCGGCGGCTGGAACGCGCGCGGCACGGCCTGGGTCCACGGCGAGAAGGCGCGCGGCACGCTCGACGTCACGGGCGACGCCGCGACGGCCATCGCCAAGTCCAACGAGCTGCCGGAGAAGCACCGGCCCCACCGCGTGCCGCGCATCGGCAAGTTCTTCCGGCGCCACATCAAGAAGCCCACGCGGCGGATTAAGCCGCCCAAGGGCAAGGTCATCGACGGCCGCCACGAGCAGTACACGCTGTCCTACACGATGCAGCTCGGCATCCAGCGCAGCGTCGAGTACGCCCACGGCGCGTTGCCCGACTCCTTCGACGCGGCCTGCGCCGAGACCATCAAGACCAAGTTCCCGCCGGGCGGGAGCGACCTCACGCCGGAGCACGCGATGCGCCACGCGTTCACGGCGAAGGACTACGCGCCCTGCGTCTTCTCGCGGATCCGCGCGCTCATGGGCGTGACGCCGGAGTTGTACCTGGAGAGTCTGTGCTCGGGCCTGAGCTTCATCGACTTCATCGCGAACTCGCGGAGCGGCCAGTTCTTCTTCTACAGCTTCGACGGCGTCTTCATGATCAAGACCGTGCGCCAGGACGAGAAGGATTTTCTCCTGAAGCTGCTGCCGGGCTACTACAAGCACCTGCTCAAGCACGCGGTCCGGCCGGACGACGACGCGGCCGCGGCGGCCGCGTCGTTCTTCCCCAACGGCAACGCGTCGCTGCTCACGCGCTTCTACGGCCTGCACTGCACGAAGCTCAAGCACCTGCGGCGCAAGGTCCACTTCGTGGTCATGAGCTCCATCTACGGCGCGAACACGTCGAGCCGCATGACCCAGTTCGATCTGAAGGGGTCGCTCTTCAACCGGTCCGCGAAGGCCGAGGACAAGGTGCTCAAGGACCGCGACGCGCTCGACCGGCGCGTGAAGCTGCGGGTCGACAAGGCCAAGGCCGACGCGCTGCTGGACAGCGCGCGCCACGACGCGGCCTTCCTCGCGCGCCACGGCGTCATGGACTACTCGCTCCTCGTGGGCATTTTTACGCCCAAAAACGGCGCCGCGGGCGCGCTCTCGCCCGCGGGCGACGCGGCGCCCCAGCCGCCCCACGACTCGAGCCCGCGGCCGTCGCTCTCGGCGGGCCAGTCGACGCAGGCGCTCTCCGAGTTCAACTCGCGCCACTTCTCCCGGCTGCCGTCGTCGCTCTCCGTCGCGGCGGAATCCGCGCGGCGCTCGTTCCGCGGCGCGCCGCCGGGCGACGGCGGGGTGGCCGCCGGCGGCCTCGACGACGACGAGGACGACGCGGGCCGGCCCGCGGCGACGCCGTCGAAGGCGGGCCACGACGACCGGCCGCCCGCGCCGTTCGACGTCGCGATCGAGGGTCTGGCGGAGGACGGCTCGCGGGAGCTCTACTACCTCGGCATCATCGACATCCTGCAGAAGTACACGATCCGCAAGCACATCGAGACCGACATCAACATCGTCACCAAGGGCCTCGGGAAGTACAGGGAGTGCTCCTGCGTGTCGCCCGACGCGTACCGCGACCGCTTCCTCAAGTTCATCACCCACATCTTCTGACGCGCGCTCGTCGTCTAAGCGGCGACCGCCTAGCCGGGGAGGTCGAGCTCGACGACCGTGTCCGCCCGCACCTTGCGGAGGAAGAGGAACCCCTCCGCGCGGAGCGCGGCGACCGTCGCCGCGTCGACCCGGTCGAAGACGTGGGGCCGCGCCTGGCGCGCGACGGGGCCGGGCCCGCTGTGGGGGAACCGCGGCCGCCAGGCCCAGTCGTTGAACGTCGTCTTCGCGTCCGCGAAGTCGACGCCGCGCTCCTTGAGCAGGGAGATGAAGTAGTGCTCGTCGGGCGCGAAGGGCGGCTCGCCCCAGCGGTCCGTGGCGTCGTTGGCCAGAAACCAGTCCGCGTCGCGCCGGTGGGCGACGAACCACTGGCTCTGCTTGCACCGGTTCTGCGGCCGGATCAGCGTCTTGTCCGCCAGGTGGCCCCAGCGGTCGTAGCTCTCGTTCGGCGGCCGCACGTCGAAGGTCGTGCGGTCCCGCGCGCCGACGGCGCCCGAAATCGCCTCGAAGCCCGCGAGGGGCACGCAGGCCTCGCTCAACAGGCAGAGGTGCGTCGTCCGCGGCTCGCGCGCGATCGCCTCGCGGAAGAGGCAGAGCGTCGCGCGCACGAGCGAGATGTTGCCCCACCAGGTCTCCACGGGCCGCCGCACGCAGCGCTCCCGGAACCAGTGGCGCGCCCGGTGCGCGGGGCTGCAGTCGGCGCGCACGGGCTCCTTGTTGTGGACGCAGACGACGAAGGGCAGCCCCTTGTGCGCCGCTTCCAGGAAGAACTCGTACCAGAGCTCGCTCTGGAGCGGCAGCTCGCGCGTCAGGAAGCAGAAGGCGACGCACGTGCTCTGCCTCTGGAACGACGCGAAGCTCGATGGGGGCCCCATCGTCCCCACGATGAAGCCGCGTTGCCGATGTCAAGCAAAAAAAATTATTTGCCACAAGATGATGGTCCCCTCCTCGTCGCCCCCAAGATGATGGTCCCCTCCTCGTCGCCCCACACCTACCCTGCGCCGTAATTACCACAAGATGATGGCCCTCGTCGACCGCCCCTTCGTCGCGGGCCTGGCGATGATCCTGGCCGTCTGCGTCATCTGGACCTTCTCGTCCGTGCTCGTGCAGCGCGTCGAGCACGAGCGCGTGTCGCCGATGGTGCTCACCTACGCCTGCAACGCCCTCTTCGTCGTCTACCTCGTCCCGCGCCTCGCGCGGCGGCGCGGCGACGCGGCGCCGCGCGCGCGGCGGGACACGACGATGTCGCCGGCGCGCGGCGGCCTCGCGCTCGCGCCCTTATGGGTCGGCGCGCAGCTCCTCTACAACGCGTCGCTCGCGCGGACGTCCGTGAGCTCGAGCACCGCGCTGTCGTCGACGGCGGGCGCGTTCGCGCTCCTCTGCGCGGCGCTCGCGGGCGTCGAGGACGCGAGTTGGCCCAAGGCCTGCGGCGTGGCCTGCTGCGTCGCGGGCGCGGGCCTCGTGTCCGCCGGCGACGGCGGCGGCGGCGGCGCGCGGTCGCTCGCGGGCGACGCGTGCGCCGTCGCGTCCGCGGCGCTCTGCGGCGCCTACACGACGCTCGTCGCGCGCGTCGCCGGGGGCGGCGACGCGCGGGATTTGTTGGGGTTCATGGGTTTGTGGAACGGCCTGCTCTTCGCGGCGCCGCTCGGCGCGTACTGCGCGCTCCGGGACGGCGCCGCGTGCGCCGCGCCGTTCGTCGCGCGGCCGGTGCTCGTCGGCTGGGTGGTCGCCAAGGGCCTGCTGGACAACGTGGTCGCGGACCTGCTCTGGGCCAAAGCCGTCGTGCTCACGTCGCCGACGTTCGCGACGGTCGCGCTGAACCTGACGGTGCCCCTGGGCTTCGCGGCGGACGCGCTCCGCGGCGACCTCGGCGCCGGCGCGGCGTGGACGGGCGGCGGCGCGGCGGTCATCGTCGCGGGCGTGTGCCTCGTCGCGGCCGCGGCCGCGCCGGCGAAGCCGCGCGGCTCGCTCGACGCGGGGCTCCTCGACACGCCGCGCGCGCGCGACGGCGGCGGCGACGACGACTCGCCCTGGACGGCCATCGTCCCCTGCACGCCGCGCCAGCTCCTCGCGACGCCGGACTACTCCGAAATCGGCGGGCTCTCGGACGACGACGCGGCGAGCCTCTACCGGCCCGAGTCCGCGCGCGCGGGCGGCCTCTCGGACGCGGAGACGGACCGCGCGTCGCCCGCGATGAGCGGGTTTACCTAGGCATGTTTTTTGTTTTTTGTTTTTGGACGGGACTTGCATTGCAAGCAGCAGCACCACGCTCGTGCTCGTTGAGTGCAACGTGAAGCTCGCAAAACTTCTTGTCATACCCCTGCAAGCTGCTCTCCCTCGAGCCCCTGCACCCGCCGTACCTCGCGGCCGTGCCCGAGGCCGAGTGGGACGAGGCCGACCGCGCGCACCGGGCGGCGCTCGAGGCCCGCGGCGCGTGGCGCGCGCCCTTCGGCGACCGCGCGACGGAGGCCGTCTTCATCGGCGTCCACCTCGACAAGGCGCGCATCGTCGCGGAGCTCGAGGCCGCGCTCCTCACGGACGCCGAGCTCGCGGCCGGCCCGGAGTCGTGGCGCGCCTTCGAGGACGTCTTCTTCGACGGCGCGTGCTTCGAGGCCCAGGTCGACACGACGGCCTTCGAGGACCTCCCGGCCTGCGACGACTACACCGACTCCGAGGAGGAGGAGGAGGCCTAACCTAGGCGCGGAGCCCCTCCGCCGCGAGGAGCGCGACGCCGGCGAAGTCGTAGAAGAGCGCGACGGGCCGCGGCGCGTAGCCCCAGAGCAGCCAGTGCACCGCGAGGCCCACGGCGAACTCGGGGTGCACCTCGTCGAAGTAGCCGCCGTTGTTGCTCGGCGCCGCGTCCTGCGCGCTCGGCGACCGCTTGAGCGACGCGACCAGGAGCGACGGCGGGGCCGGCGGCGCGGCATCGGCAAGCGGCGCTGCGACGGCTCCCGACGCGACCAGGAGCGACGGCGGGGCCGGCGGCGCGGCTCCGGCCGGCGGCGCTGCGACGGCTCCCGACGCGGCCAGCGACGCCAGCGATGCCGCCGCCGCGGTCCGCCGCAGCCCAAGGAGAGCTGGTCTCTCAGGAAACCGCAGCGCTCGCGCGCCCGTCAGCGATAAGAGCCACAGCGTCAGCGTTCGTCGCATCGCTCGCGGCGCGTGTGCGCGCTGCGTTTGCGTGCCAATCCGGCCCTTTCGTCGAGCTGCGCGCGTGCACACGCCTGGTCCCGGGCCCCGCTCGCCCGCCCAGCTCGACGGCATCTTGAAAGTCAACAACCACAAGTTGAAGCCGTGCATCCCGAAAAACCCAGATGTGACAGAGGCGCTAAATTCCGCCGCGCGGCGCGGTCCGCGCCTACTTCGCTTCGGCGTCCTTGAGGACGACGTCCTCGCAGAAGCGGAGGAAGCGCGCGGCGTACTCGTCCGGGGGCACGGAGGAGATGGCCTCGCGCTTCGCCTTGAACGTCTTCACGAAGGTCTCGGCGCGCTTCTTCGCGTTGTATTTGATGAGGACGTCGATGATGCCGAGGAAGTAGGTCTTCTGCGCGCCGCCCGGCAGCGCGTCGTCCGTCGCGGTGATGCCGAGGTCCCGCCGGTCGCTGAGCGCGCGGAGGCCGCCGTCGTCGGGCGTCGCGCGCGACGCGCGCTTGAGCTGGATGTGGGCCTCGGCCGTCTCGGCGAGGGTCAGCGGGTGCTCGTCCGGGTCGTCGTCGCTCTCGTCGCCGCTCGCGGCGCGGCCGAGCGTCGAGGAGGACGCGGCGCCCGGTAGCGGCGGCGCCGGGTCGCCCGCCGGTGGCCCCGCGAGGCCGCAGGAGAAGTCGGGCAGCAGGGGCGCCGGCTCGTCGACGACGACGCGCGCGGGCGCCGCGTCCGCGGCGGCGTCCGCCGGCGGCTCGGGCCGTCGCTCGCCGTCGTCGTCGAGCGCCGGGTCGTGGACGCCGATGAGCAGGCTGTAGTCCATGATGCTCTGCGACTTGAGGAACGCGACGTCGAAGGCCAGCTGCGTCAGGAGCACGTCCTTCTGGCGCGCGCGCAGCGCCAAACGGAAGTCGTCGTCGACCAGGTCGAGGTCCTTGAGGTGCAGGCCGATGCCCAGGCGCACGTCGCGGTCCCGCTCCTTCTCCGTCGTCCGCCGGCCGTGCGTGCAGCCCTTGAGGTCGTAGGTCCGGTGCACGTGGAGGGGCGTCGGGTGCACCGAGTGCATCACGACGAAGCGCACCTTGCGCCGCAGGTGGTAGAACTTGATGCGGCTCATGCCCAGGTAGCGCGTCATGAGCGACCCCGGGTGCTTCTTCAGGTGCGCGTAGTAGGCCGGCAGCATGCGCCGGAGGAACTTGACCTCCTCCTGGGTCTGCGTCTTGATCAGGAACTTGCCGTCGTGGCTGTAGAAGAAGTACTGCTGCGACTTGGAGTTCGAGATGAAGTTCAAAAAGTACTGCGTGCCGCAGATGGACGTGATGTAGTCCGTCTTCCGCACGTCGAAGATGTCCCGGATCCGCGAGAAGGCCTCGGGCGCGTAGTCCTTGAACTTGAAGGTGTGCGCGAGGCTGTGGGGCGGCGTCGTCGACGAGCCCTTGGGCGGGAAGACGTACTTGCGGCACTCCAAAAAGTCCCCGACGGCCAGCGCCTCGGGCCGCGGCGCCGCGGCCGCCGTGTCCGCGTCGATGTCGTTCGCCTGGCTCAACAACGTCTGGCGGATGCCCATCATCATGCCCAGCGTGAGCACGTACTGCTCGTGCTTCCCGTCGATGACCTTGCCCTTGATGTTCTCCCGGTCCTTGCGCTCGGGCCGCTTCAGGTTCTTCGTGATCGCTTTTTTCAGGTTCGGCGTCGGCACGTGAGCGATGAGCTTGCCGATCTTGCTCGGCTGGATGTCGGCGTTCTTCTCCAGCGCCGTGCGGAAGTCGTCGTGGAGGTTCCCCGCGCCCTCGTCCGACCCCAGCGACGCGCGCGCCGCGTCCTCGGGGTCGCCGGTCTCGGCGAAGGACGCCATGGCCGCCGCCGCGCGTCGTTAATCGGAAGGGATGCGGTGTCGGACCGGTTCGCGCCAAAGTCGCGGGGCCGGGCGAAGACGCGGGGCAGCGTCGACGGAGCCGAGGGCGGCCGCGCTCTGCGAGAGCGACCAACCACGAGGACCAACCACCAGACCGTCTCCCCACCAGGTTTTTGCTTAAGGCCGTATCCGCCGCACTTACAATTTTCAATATAGCACCGTGCCCCCGCAGCGGCGGCCAGACCGCAACGGCGCTTACGCCGTGCTGCCCGGGTGGAACAAGGCGCCGCGCGCGCGCACCGCCGGGTCTCGCCGCGACGCGCGCCGCCGCGCGGGTCCTCGCGACGCCGCCAACACATCCGCAAAGCGCCGCCGCGGCATCAAAAAAGCTGCCATGACGGAGACGGGCCAGTCGCTGGCGTCCTTCGGGCTCTGCCTGAGCGCGCGCAAGGCCGTCGTCGACAAGCAGATGGGCGCGGACCCGAACCTGCCCGGCCCCGGCCAGTACATCAACCCGCTCACGGAGGGGAGGAACACGAACGGCGAGGTCAAGGGCGTGCTCTCGTCGCAGAAGAACGTGCCGTCGGTCTGCTTCTCCATGGAGGGCAAGGGCGAGCACGGGCGGCCCATCGAGAAGCAGCTCAACAGCAGCGACACCATGGGCCCCAAGTACACCCTCGACAACGTGACCCACGGCAAGCAGGTCCAGAGCCACATCCGGTCCGCGCCGAGCGCGACGTTCGGCTCGGGGCCGCAGCGCTACCACGGCGGCGCGTCCTTCAAGACGCGCGTCACGGAGCCGAGCCCCCAGCACTACGAGACGCAGAACATCACGACGGGCGTTTTACGTTTATCGACGCAGCGCAACGTGCCCGGCACGAAGTTCATGACGGGGCCGCGGACGTACAACGACGCGAACGCGCGCGAGTCCGGCTCCGCGTGGACATCAAATCTTCGACCCGACTTCCATGTTCACGTATTCGAATGGTTCGACGCAAGCGCTTCCGCTGTGCTTCGAGAACTCGACGAGAGCACTCGAATCGTCCAAAAATCAGCCGAATCGACTTCGATGTGACCGAGCTCGAGAGGTTTGAAGTATTTGCTGGACGGGGCGTTCCACTGGTCGATTTCCACACAGGTCCGGCTCGAAGCCGGCCCCGGGCCAGTACCGGCCCCAGAGCGCCATCGGCCGCCAGGTCGAGTCCAAGTACAAGGGCGGCCACCAGTTCACGATCCACGGCGGCCGCCGCGACTTCACGAAGCAGAACGCGGGCAAGGAGCCCGGGCCGGGACACTACGTCGACCCCATCCGCGAGGGCCGCAACGCCAACGGCGAGGTCAAGGTCGTCCTCTCGTCCCAGAAGAGCTACCCGTCGGCGACCTTCGGCACGGCCATGCAGCGGCCCCACAGCGCGCCCTACGGCAAGCAGCGACGGCCGGGGCCGAACCAGTACAAGGTCCCGGGCGCCATGGGCTTGCAGGTCAACTCGCGGTACAAGTCCCAGCCGAGCATCAGCTTCGGCGCCCGGTGACCCGACGGAGGCCGCCGACGCCGCGGCCGCCCCGAATTTTTTCGGGGCCCCCGCGGCGGCGCGCCCCGCCACAAGACTCCAAGACCCCGAAAAGACTCCAAGCACCCCGCCGCGCCCCCTTAAGACGCCCCCACCATGGCGAGGAACAGGGCCCGGGGCGGCGCGAAGCTGAAGCGCCCGTGCATGGCGCGGTAGTTGTCGACGACGACGACGTCGCCCGGCTCGTAGTCGAAGGCGACGCTCGCGGCCCACTGCGCCTCCCGGATCGCGCGGACCTCGTCGCGCGCGAAGGGCGCGCCGTCGCCGTACGCCGTCGAGTAGGGCATGCGCCCGCGGAGCGCGCAGGGCTCGCGCGCCCCCGGCGGCCGCGCGAGCTCGGGATAGTCGGGGTGGTCGTCGAAGACGGAGCAGTGCATGGCCGCGATCATGTTGCACCACGAAAGTTCGCCCGTCACCGGGTGGGGCCGAAAAGCCGGCGCGACCTCCCAGGTCGCGAAGTCGTCGCCGCGCCACGCGTAGCCGTAGCCCGCCGCGCGCGCGGCCGCCTCGGCCTCGGCCGCCGTCGTCGCCCGGAACGCGGCGCGCCAGGAGACGATTT